ATGGAGATATTATGTGTGTGATTTTGAACTTGATTGGTTCTATTTATCTACTGGATGGAACATATGTTATCTTGAACAGTTGTCTACGGTTCCATTGCTATTATATATCATTATGTTTTTGTGCTTATAACAATATCTTATGCATGAATGATAGTTTTAATCTCTTTTCTTGTTAAATCTCCTACATTATTTCTTTTCCTTCTTTGATTAAGCTATTTGTCAATTTGTAACAAAAAGGGAGAGAAGTGTGCATATTTGAGGGGGAGAGTTTCTAGAATTAAGGGGTAGATTTATATATATTGATATTCACATATTGATATCTGTTGATTGTTTATCTTTCTCGATTAAGCTTCACGGGTAGTTTTGTTGAGCTAATGTGCAGGTTACAAGTTGCTACATGCGTTGAAGCTTCATGATGTTTCTGTTGTATTTCTTTGACAATTCATTGTAATTTGTTTTTTCTGCTTGGGTAGATTACATGTTGTTTTTAGGGTTTTGTCACGAAATTACCAAAGGGGAGAATGTGAGATATTTATATTTTGGGATGATTGTGAAAAATATATATTCTGTAATTGGCAACTTTCGGTGTTAAAATAAGTCCTTGTTAAGTTGTAATTCAAGTTACTATATCGGGATCGACAGCGACTGCGGAATTGGAAGGTTGTTCAAAGTTACCATGATTGAGATCATTCAAGAAAAAAGGTAAGAACAACACTTTAGGAATGAATCTAAAAAGGTTAGGACACATTCCATACTTTCGGTGTATTTTCAGAAATTTCCAAAACAGCTTTTTTACCAAGTTCAGCATGAAAATTCAAGTCTGCTAGACTTGAACCGGTTCAGCCCCATTGAACCAGTTCAAGGCCTTCAAGATTGGCTTTGAAATCTTTCTGCCAATCTTGAACCGGTTCAGCACCCTTGAACCGGTTCAAGAAGTCCTGTTCAGGTTACAATTCTAGTTTCCTGTTTCTGATTTCTTTCCTATTTGGTTTAGAACTATACCAAATCCAATGCAGGAAATTTTTTATATTTTCAGAGGAATTAGGATATTCTAAACTCTATATAAACCTTGTCATACACATAGGTTTATACACGGTTTTTGCATTGAAAATTCAGATCCATTTGAGAGCCATCTGTAAGAGATATTTTTTATTCAGAAAATCAATCTGATTTTCTGATTTTATTTTTGAGAGCATATACATAAACACATGAGTGATTTAGGAGTGTTGTTCTCTATCTCATCAGAATAGAAGCATAATTGAAGATTTAGAAATTTCTGAAAAGCAGAGTTCATTCGTTCTTCGCTAAATTCAGATCTAGAAGAAAAGGGGGTGAAGCGATTACACTTTGAATGGGTCAAAGCATTCGTGGAATGTTGTCTGATCTATTTCCAACTCTTCTACAGAGATCGAGAGTAAGCCTAAAGTCGAGAGCTGTTAGACGGGGGAGTCGCAAAGCCAAGGATTGTTAGCAATTGGTTTTTGGTAGAACGATAGGTTGTGAGATTATTCAAAGTTCGATATACTTTGCTTCAAACATAGTGGATCGTTTATCTCAGAATTGGAGAGTCTAACGAGATTTTTTCTGTTACAATTGGTCTATTCTACCAATTGGGGTTTCCTCGATAAAATCCCGGTGTCATCTCTCAAACTTTATTTACTTTACTTACACTTTATTTTTGCTTTGTGGTTTGATTTTAGTTTTATTTCGGTAAAATTAAAATAAGTAAAAATTTGATAAATGAGCAAGTTAAATATATTTACTGTAACGACCCACTCCACCACATGGTATGATATTGTCCGCTTTGGGCCTGAGCCCGCACGGTTTTTGCTCTTGGGCTTCACCCCAAAAGGCCTCATACCAATTGGAGGTGACACACTTACATATAAGTACTTCACCTTTCCTCTACCCAGGCGATGTGGGACTGTGCACCCGTAGCTCGCCAGTGTGGTAGCCTGACAGTGTCTCTCGCACCCGCCCACGGCACACCCGCCCACAGGGTCATCACAATCCACCCCCCTTGGAGGCACGACGTCCCCGTCGGCACACTTCCGGCTGGGTCAGGCTCTGATACCATTTGTAACGACCCACTCCACCACATGGTATGATATTGTCCGCTTTGGGCTTGAGCCCGCACGGTTTTTGCTCTTGGGCTTCACCCCAAAAGGCCTCATACCAATTGGAGGTGACACACTTACATATAAGTACTTCACCTTTCCTCTACCCAGGCGATGTGGGACTGTGCACCCGTAGCTCGCCAGTGTGGTAGCCTGACAGTGTCTCTCGCACCCGCCCACGGCACACCCGCCCACAGGGTCATCACATTTACCATCCTCTAGGTTATCTATCCATATTATATTCCACAACCATTCCGCTGTGCACACTCAACAAGCATGAACCAAGTAACCATCGCGAAACCATCGAAAAAATAAACAAGCCGCACACACAAAGAACACAAAAGTTTAGCTTGGTTTTACACAAGTTATATCTAAGTCCACGATGAAGATCTAGCAAAAGATTTCACCGAAAAATAGGAGATTACAAGTTTCAACCTCAAAACCCTAACTCTCGCTCTCATTCTTTTTTCTGCGATTTTCAATGTCTCTCAATGCCTCACTCAAAACCCTAAATGACCTTATACTCCGGGCTACAATAGAGTACTAAATAGGAAAAACGGATCAAAAGTTTTTCCTCAGGCCTACCAACAGGTCGTCAGGTCAAAAATGAACCGCAACGCGGCCCGAACTAAATTTGGCCACAACATCGCAGTTAGCATGGAAAAGTTGTGGAAAAGTACAACGTTTTTCTCTCTTTTTTGTTCGGTTAGATGAAAGAGAATATAAAGATTTGACAATTTACTTTGATATAAAGGATGTAAAGGAAAATAAAATTTTAAGTTGTTTTTACTATTAAAACAATCACTTACTTTATTTGTGTGATTTATCAAATATTTATGTAGGAAGAGAAACTTCTATAATTGGCCCACTAGTCTTCTCTCCTCTCTTTCACCCATACTTGGATGAATGAAAATTTGTGAAGGGTGAAAGATAACTCATCCATCATATTATCATTTCTTTCCTTATTCATTTTTACCTAACGAAGCAAGTTTGTTCTTTCCTTCCAATCCTCTCATTCCTTCCTACCAAACAAAGCATAAATAACTTTTACGAGATATATATTTTCGGTCTTCTTTAAAGAATTGAAGAATCTAAATAATTAATTTTGTAGAACACTAATAGTGAGTGAGAGAGAGATGTGGGTTATTATACTATACTTATAATATAATGTAATGCATAAACATAATTTATTTATAAGGATAACAAAAAGGATAGAATTGTAATTTCACATAATTTCTCATAAAAGCAAAATTTATGGACAAAAAATTTATGAGAAAATAAGGTGGTTATGAAAAAATATGTTTCGTCAAAATTTTTCTTTTCTTTCTTTAGGGATTTCTAATTGGACCACTAAATAATATAATATAAATGAAGAATTGATCTGGATGAAGGATGAGAAATAGACAAACCAAAGAAATTTACAGTGAAGGTAACGATGTTTGTCTCTATGACAAATCCTTATTTTTTAGGGGAGTTTATTTTTTATTAGTCTTTACCTCGTTCCTAGGGTTATAGGTTATGATTCCTCCAAACACCTAGGAGGTCAATTCTTTCTTTGTGTCATGCTCTAGTATAATAGCAGGCGCATTAAATTTCTAATACTGACATTAAATGTATTTGATTGGGCAATAATGATGGTGGTTGGGATCCACTTTGGATATAGCTCAGCAGTTTACTCGCTTTACTCGCTGAACTTTGGAGCTTAGCAAGTCCAAGGTCTAGGGTTCAAGTCCCGCTGGGTGTTCTTTGTGGCTAACCTCTACTGCCCCTGCAGTGACTTATTCGGCCCGAGTAGGGAGGTGCTCTTCTCAGTCCTCGGAGATTAGTCGAGTTGTTGAGGGGCCCTAAGATTTCATGCCATCCCGGACACCTTGGGTTAATCTAAAAAAAAATAATAATAACGATGGTGGTTAGGGCATTAATGGTGATTGTAAGGGTCTCGGTTACAGAATGTGTACATCATTCCTTTAGCTAGGGCCATTACTTTTCTGGGCATCTTTTGACTTCTCATCCACCAATTCAGAATACTTCTAATTAAGTGTCACGTGTGGTAGTTGTATGTACTCGAGAATGCGTTAACTTCATATCATTCCATACTTAATAACCTGGACCCGAGGTTGCAAGGCGCCTCTTGTCGGCGTGCTGTGACGGAAGCATTTTCTTTAGACTCGAGAGTGATGTTCTCGAGATATGATGACCTCGCATGACATCAGGATTTTTTTTGGACTCGATAGTAATCCCTCTAAGTTTGATGACCTCGCATGATGTTAAGGTTTTTTTTTTAGATTTAAGGGTTGTGCTTTCAAGGTTTGGTAAGTTGGCATGATGTTAGGGTTTGTTTGGACTTAATGGTGATGCCTTCGAAGTTTGGTGACTTGATTAGACGTGACGTTGAGGTTTTATTTGGACTTGAAATCCAACTACTGGTGAAATGACAGGGGAGAAAGAGGACGGGATCAAATGTCTCTTGACGTTCTCCAGTTTGATGACTTGACATGAAATTATGATATATATATATTAATTTCAAGGATAGTAGTCTCGAGATTAATTGTTGGTATTGAGACCTTTGGCCACGTGAGTTTTCGTTTGACTTTTCAAATGGCGATGTTACTATTAGGTTGGCATGATTTGTCTAGCGTTAATTTGATCTTTCAACTAATCATATAGTTATTATTATTTCACATTTACACTTTTTCAACTAGTAAATTTTCTTTCTTTCTTTCTATTTCCATATAAACAAATGAAGCCTTAAAAAGAATCAAGCTCCATGAAGCTCATGAAAGTAGTGGCTAGTCTGGCTGCGTCACTTGCATAGCCGTTAAACGGCGTCGTTTCAAACCGGTTGCCTTGTGCTTTTAAAAACGCACTTGGCAAAATAATTGCAGAGACTTTCAAACGTAATAAATGACAGAGCACAAATGAGTACAGTATAGCTTCCTTTATCGTTAACAACAGTGGGTTCAGTCAGCATTCAGCAACAGTAAATGAGAGAGAAAGTAGAGAGATAGTCGCATAGAATGGTGTGAGCACTCACTTTTCTCTCTCCCAGCTTTGCCCTCTCCGACCACCTCATCGACGGCCCAACGGTCGGAAAATCAAACAGACTATAAAAGGTTAGTCTACAATTAGTAAACCAAAACATCTTGCTGTTTCATGCATATATGTGTTTTCTGGGGTTTTCAATGAGTTATCTAACCTATTGTAGCGTGAATTGGGACATTGGTTGGTCTGATCGATGTGGGTTTGTGTATTCGATGTGTGTTTTGATTCTTTGAATATTCTTTTGATGGGTATGTTTAAATAAGTTTTGTTTGGCTTCCGAGAAATTGCAGGAAAAATAAAGAAAATTTTTGGGTGTTGAATTTTTTTTATCTATTAGCTCCCGAATGGTAATAAACAAGGATTTGGATTGGTAATTGAGTTTTTCCTAAATGAATGACGAATTAGGACTCAAAATTCCAGTTTTTTTCCCCTGTAGTTACTTGGTAACCAAACGGTGGAAATGAACTTCTATTTTGTTATTAAATTGTTTGAGGAAGTCACATAGTGTGACATTGGGGCTGAATTTGTGTTTGAATGGTTTCTCAATGATGAGGTACTGTTTGAATTCTGAAAAATCTGGGATAACTGAAAAGAAAAGCAATTGGGCCGGTGAAAAGTAAAATCTTAGCTTGAAGGACAATAATACTAATATTTGGTCTTTTTTTTTTTTTTTAATCATAATCAAATGGAGGGTCATTGAATTCTTTGGGAAGCTAATCATGGACAACCTCAAAGGGGTATTGGTGTTTTCTATGAATTTTAGCAGATAGTTTTCTAGGTCTTTTGTTCATGTGTGAACTCGATTAGGATAGTTTCTCCATAGGATACAGTAGTGGGAACTGGAGCTGGACCCTCTTAAATTTTACATATGAATAACGTTTTAGGGGTTGTTTGAGAAGATCTTGAAACAGGCTGATTGGCTTAGGTTGTGACTTAAAAATAATTTGGTTGAACGGTATGTATATATGGCAATACAAATTGGATGGTATAGGTTTTTTTGCTGAAATTTTAAAACCTTGAGTTGACCTAAAGAACCCCCTCGGCATCCAAAGTTCAAATGGAAATTTTGTAATCCTTTTCTCTGTATATCTGTTAGTTTGCATCTCTGATCATAATTAATCCTCTCAAAAAGGATAAATTAATGGAACTGAAATTTTGCTTTCTGGTAGTAAAGATATATTGAAATTTGACCCTCTTTTTCTCCATCAGTAGGGTTTCTAAATGTATTCCAGATGATGCAATCTGTTTTTTTTTTTTTATTTTTTTTTTAATTTTTTAAAAGTAAATACTCACACACACTCACAAATGCCCACCATGGGGCTCGAGCCCCCTCACCTCCAACCCCGCCTTCTTCCCAAACACGCTCACACACTTTTTTGTGTTAAAGTTGTCATGGTTATGGCAGAGAAGTTCTCATCAAGCTCATTTTTGATAAATCAATGGGCAAATAAACTTTTTGATTGCATTATTTCTCTCTGAAAATTGGTAGATTATACATCAATTGAAATTGGCTTTAAGAAGCTGCTTCAATCTCCCATCTCATTCATGTATCCAAGAAGGCCAGTTCATGCTCCCCAATTGAAAGCCACTATCAAATATAGATTTTTGAAAGCCCTGCACTCGTTATTTCTCTTTGGTTGAAACAGTATGCATGTACAGCAGTACAAATTGGATTGTATATTGTTTTTGGTTAAAAGTTCAAAATTGACTATTATGAGCTGTTCTAGATTGAAAATGTATCTGAAGTTCAAATGGAGAACTTTATATCCTTTTCTTTGCATGTCTGTTAATTTCCATCTCTGATCAAAATAATCCGCTCATAATGGTTAAAATTAGTGAAATGGGTTTTTTTTTTTTTTGCTCCTTGTTAGTAAAATAGATGTGAACGTTGATCCCCTCATTTTCTCCCTCATTAGAGTTTCTAAAAAGTGTTCCAGATGATGTAGTCTGTTGCCTATTTTGTTAATAATTTTTTTTTTTTTTTTTTTGTGGTAAAGTTGTCATGGATTTGGCAGAGCAGTTTTCTTTGATTATGCGGGCATTTTCAATCGATGATAAAGAGACTCCCATATTGCTTTATTTCCCTCTCCCTCTCTCTGAAGAATAAGTACGTTACATTTATTTAGTTACATGTGCCATTTTCATGTATAGGCATGTATAAAAACCAATTGCAAGAATTGGCACAGAGAAGCTGCTTCAATCTTCCATCTTATTCATGTATCCGGGAAGGTCCAGATCATGCCCCCCGATTTAAAGCCACTGTCAACTTTAATGGAGACACATTTGAAAGCCCTACATTCTGCTCTACTCTGAGACAAGCAGAACATGCTGCAGCTGAAGTAGCTCTGAACACACTTGCAAACAGAGGTCCTTCTAGAGCACTTGCTGCAAGAATTCTGGTACGCATTTTACTGAGATTTTTTTTTTAATCGATACATTTAAAATAGCTTGTTCCCTGTCTATATTTTTTTGGAGATTTGATCTTTTGTTTCATAGTTTGTTCCCCATCTTTTTTTCTTTTTATTTTTATTTATTTTTTTATTTTTATTTTTTTGTGGAGATTGATCTTCTGTTTATCTTTAATTCACAATTATCTTTTATTTTTCATTTTTTACTTTTATTTGTACTTCTTTAGTTGTAGGTTGGTTGGTCATTTTGGTCATAGAGTAGCGCATTTCTTAGTTTTAGCGTCTCTTTAGGGACAATATCCTTAATCAATGCCCTAAACCTAATGGCATACCAAGTAAAATATTGAAGCAAATAGAAAGAACACAAGTCTTCTTACAATAGTAAGGAAGACTAGAAACACTCCAATCACTGATGGAGCCTAGATTGGAAAATCTGGGGAAACCCCGTGGAATACTTTATAAACTGATATCTCAAAATTATATTGATTTATAACTTGGTTACAGCATATATAGATGGCTGTCCCTTTATGATAAAAACTATTATTGAAAATTGCTTTCTCTAGACTGACTTTCAAGCTTCCCACAAAACATTAATGACAATTTCTACTATACCTTTGACATTTTCAGATTCCCACACCATAATTACTACTTTGACTAGAGACTATTGATGACTACATTAATTTGACTAGACACTTTTCAAGACACCATAAATTATTTGCATCAAATATACTACCGTGAAAGCTTAGCAAACAAAATGGGGTGATGGAGACCCCACATCAACTTATAAATAAAAAAATGGAGACTCCACAGTAAATTATTGAAGATATAAGACAATAATACCCTTGCTGGTAAAGATCTTACTATGCCTGGATGTTCAGTAAAATCAATTCAACTCTACCAAGTCTTATACCAATTATTCGGAGTTGGTTTCATTAATTATGTTTTTTTCATCTTCTCTTCTAAAGCTATAATTCAGCTAAATCGAAGTTTGGAATTAACATCTGGTTGGAATTAATTTCACCACACGCCACTCTTTCCAGTAAAATTGATGTTTGAAAGTTTCATCTGGTTCTAACTGAATTAAAGACTTCCCTTAGATTAGCGGTCATCCTGAAAGGGTGAAAAATATTTACCTGAAAATATTACATCTTTCTTGAAGTTTTGTTACTATCATAAGATACTTATGGTGGACCAAAAAAAATTCAGTAATCTTGAAGTACCGGAATACTCTGCTTCAATTTTTTGGGTTTATGTTTATGTCCTGGACTGCGTGCAAGTTATTTAACCCAGTTTAAAAGAATTCTTTTTGTGTTATCACACTGTTTGGTTTATCCACATTGCGCTCCTTGCACTTCCTAAGAGAGAGAAGAAGAAGAAGAAGAAGAAACTTCAAGGAGGTTAGTTTGGTAGTTCAAGAGAAAATTGCTAGCCTAAGTGTCATGTCACGGCACTGAAGCATGTATATCAGGAGCACCACTAGATGACAACCTCTAGGAAGCTAGCTTCATACCTGAGGAGAGAGACAGATGATGGAAATGTCTATCTTGGAAAGTGAAGATGCATTGGACATGTATGTCTTTCTCCTTGGTTGTCCTTCACATGTGGCCTTAGTTACAGTACTTCTTTCACTTAGGAAATTGTTGTCTTTTTTTTGGGGTGGTGGGGGGTCACTCCATAATCCGTATACATGGGGCCTACTTATCAAAAACTTATTTTGTAGGGCTACGCTCTCCCTCCCTTCCCTTTCTTCTTCTCCTTCAATCACTTTGTTCTCATTTTTTCAGCATGATGTGTCTGAATTGTGATTCATGTTTTTGATGATTTCACTAGAGAGTAGGAATGATCATTTACTTTTGATCATCAGGTCCTCGTTCCACCCCTAATGGGACAGGATGGTGTAAATTTAATCAGATTAGTGTTGGGCTTGGGGGATAAAGAAAAGGTGAAAACATGACCAGTTTCAAGGTGGAGTAAATAGAATCCCACCACGCCTCAACTATATATGGAAGTTACAAATAAACTCTAACTTTTAGTTATATTTTCTAATATACCCTGAAATACCCAAGTTATAGTATGCTAGTTGATGCAGGACATGGATGGAAAGGGATTATATAAACACAGGCAAGCCTGGTGTTACAGCCAACTTGGGCAGGGCGGGAACATGGTGGGGCTCCCACGGGCAGGTGGTATAAGGAAAATCCCCCTCGTAGCACCCTTTTGCCATCCCTATTGAGGGGGTTATTAATCAAAATGGCATTATTTCCGTTTTTTTAGGTACTTCTTGATTAAACAACATTTCAAGGATTGGCTATTAAAATAGATGTATGCTATCCATCCCTAAGGCATAGCTTGCACACATTTTCTCAGTTCATACTTTCTATATGATTGTGCCTTCAGGTAAACCAAGGACCCTTATGGAAGAGTGTTTTTCATCAATAACATTTCTTCTATTCCCCCATCTCTGTATTTTTGACACTCCCCTTGAGATATCTTACTGCTCCATGAGGTTTCTCCTTGTTCAGTAGAATTAATAGTAAATATATTAAGTAAGGGGTAAGCACTGAATGCATCTTCATGTGCTTGGCCATGACAGTGGCTGCGCACTAGGATGAGTATTGGGACATGGGAGTAGACATCCACTTTCCTAGGCATGTGTTTTACAAATCTTTTGTAAAATATGTAAATTGAGCATCACATGTTGACTGAGTAGATGTATCATACACTATGAAGCATGCATATGAAAATGACACAACGTGAATATGGAGATACAACTCTAAAAAAAATAGATACTATTACAGCAAGATATGGCAATAAAAAATAATATGTTATATTTTATAGTTTTTTGATAAGTAAGTAATATGTTATATTTTATATAAATAATAATATTTTTATTAGTTTTCGTAATATTATGAATGTAAATTTAATCAACAATATATTCATAAATAAAGATGCAATTAGATAAAACACAAAGATAAAGGAAAACCCTACCCCTAGAACATGAATGACCCAAACTCTCTGCGTTGATGAATGTTGATGACTACCAATTTAGGCTTTTAAGTCCTTTTTGTTTTATTTTCTTTTAAACAATGAACTTTTTATTATTACAATCTGACCCGTTCTTTATAAAATATTTACAAATTTGCCCAGCCGTATCCCAAGGTTGTCAAAATCGCGATCCTGGATCTTAGAATCGCACGATTTTACGATCCTACCAACCCAAAACGAGTCAACTCATATAGAAATCGCTCCCTGTGCAGAATCGTGTAGAATCATAGTAGAATCTCAAATAGAAGATTCTGAGATATTTTTTGTTTGGAATTTTTTTTGGGCTTGGTTCACTTTCTTAAGTGTTGGGTTCTCTAAATAAGAAAGGTCCACAGTTTTGGGGCTCTAAGAAAGTCCTTATAAATAAGAAAAAAACACTATTTAGCCAATTAGCCCTAATCCCCAATTCTGTTCTCTCTTTTTTTTTTTTTTTTTGTTGCTGTTCAAATTTTTTTTTTTTTTTTCCCTGTTTCTGATCAATTTTTTATTTTTTTTAAGCATGAAGAATGGACCCTTTAATTCTGTTCTGTTCTGTTCTTTACTTCTTTAAATTATGTTTTGTAACTATGTTTAGTCCTTTTCTATTTTATTTGTGTTCTCTTCTTTTAAGGGAGCTGTTGGAAGTTTGGATTAGGATTTGGGATTTGTGAACTTATGTTATGGATTAGGATTCAAACCTTCATCTTCTCACACACTTCACAACTTTCAAATTGCATAGTTGTCATTAGAGTTCTACCTTTTGAGCTACATTCTCTTTTATATTAATCTATCTGATTCTACAATTCCGATTCTATGGAGCCCAAAACGATTCTACGTGGAATCCTGATTTTAACAACCTTGCCGTATCCTAGAAGTATTTGTCGTATATTAGAAGTGCCATGCTCTATCCCAGTCATATCTGATTTGAAAAACAATATTTTAGAATTCCAGATATTTCCATGCCGTATTAGAACGAATCCGTGTTTGAAACATGTTCGATACGGCCACGGTGACACTGGGGAAGTATCTGCCTAGATCATACGCTATGCAAGTAATGTTGACAATTGGCCTGCATCTTTTGGTTACACTTTGAAGGGTACGTATTTCGAAGGAGACATACATGATGCAGCTGACAGCTACTCACCCTTGTTGTCATCCTCATCATGATTGTGATTAAGATAAACAAATCTTCTAGGTGGACCCATCCATGCAACTTCGCAAGATATGTTGTTGCACCATCTCTGCTGCACCCCTTATGCAACTCCCACCTTGATCCCTACCACTGTGGAATACTATCTTTGGCATCATAATCACCATCATGATTGGATGTCATATGCACTTTCCTCCTGGCAGCAACAAGCTACCTCCTTACCTCAACAACATGTCTCCCTTTAATTCTGATCACCTTGGCACTCTCCACTGGAGCACACACAGACCATCATCACAAATCACAACACCAATTACCTTGCAACTCATACTGCTGTGTATCTCACACTATGGTAATCTTTCATGGTCTTGCAATCAAAAGCATTCGATCAACCTATGCTCCAGCGCACATGTATATTAGTTTACAATATAAAGCACAGAACCAACACAAACCTTCTGAGGTAAAATATAAGTCTGGCAAATATAAGTCATGCACGTGTCAGTAACTATCAGTGTTGAACAAAATCTCATGGGAACATGTCAAAATCTCATGGGAACATGTCCAGCTTTTTTTTTTACTTAGATACCTATCTTTTGATTCTCCTACTAAATTTAATATTGGTTGTCATTTCGGCCAATCATGGGCTACCACCTTGTCAGGTTAATGTCCATATTGCATCAAGCTGTCAACCGCAGATTGCACATGACCACAACGATTGAGCCTTCGCATCATTTTCTTGCTTAAACTCATGGGCACGTTGCACATATTGAGTTTCCAGCGCTTTACATAGAATTCAAGAAGCATATCCTGAGTTGGAAATTCGAATGGAAATGGGATCCCCATTTACTAGTGCGAGAAAATTTTTCAAAGCCTGAGGATAGTTACCAGTCTATATATTACTGGGACTTGGTATATTCTACTATCTGTCTATTGTTGTCTTTTCTTGCTACATCAAAGTGATTGCGACTGACAAAGATGGATGCTTTGGATCTTCTTAAAACCATGTTCGCGTGCACAAGTTATCACTAGACTAGATATTGGGTTCATAACACTTGATAATGCAATCCCTACTCAATAGACGTAGGAACCTACCAATTTAATTGTTCCTGATGTGTTTTAGTTCAGCTTATTTATTTAGTCCCCTTTTCTTTAAAGGTTATTGGACCCCAATTGGAGAACAACATAAGGATCATACCAGCTCTTCATTAGTCAAAATTTTTTGCTAAAGATCGAAGGATTCTCCAAGCTTATCTAAAGCTAAGACCGCCCCAAAATCCCAATTAATGGCCAGACTGGCAGAAGACCTACTGCCAGCAGGATTTTCCATTGTTCAAGATCTGAATTTCCTAACTTACAGTTTAAACCTATCTGTTGTTTTTCTTCTGGAAGCATGAATTTCTGGTTGGATTTAAGGTTTTAAATCTTTTGCATCCCTTCTTTTTCTCAGTAATGTAGTCGGCAAAGGTGCAGATGAATATGATCGTTAAGAATCAACATTTAACCTCCTTTTACTGTAGTGCGACTATAAAATATAAAAGTGATGCTCTATTCCTTTTTTTGGGTGCCTTATCTCCCTTTTTTCCTTTCTATGTTTAAATCCTCCTATCAAGATCTATGAAAAGATTTCTGTCCCTATACGAAAAGTTTTTTCGGACTATGGTTAATAAAAAATAAATGAATCACTTAACTATGTAATAAATTTTTGTCCATTTTTGCTGTATCTGGGCATACTGAACCTCAAGTAGCTTATTTGACATGTGCCCTTCCATAAATTCTTATCACCATTATAAATTTCTGCCATTCTATTTCAGTTTTTCTAGATTTTCCACTCATGGATTACATATGTTGTGTGTTTTTCTGATGCACAGGATGAAACTGGAGTCTACAAGAATTTGCTTCAAGAGACTGCTCATAGAGCCGGGTTAAACCTTCCTGTCTATACCACTGTTAGATCTGGACCTGGCCATGTACCTGTTTTTTCATGCACCGTTGAGCTTGCCGGGATGAGCTTTTCAGGGGAACCCGCTAAGACCAAGAAACAGGCTCAGAAGAATGCGGCCATGACTGCTTGGTCAGCCCTGAAACAATGTATGCATCATCATTTTATTAAAAAACTTTAGTTTGTTATACGCGTATATGTATCATGTGATAATTAGCACTTGCCATTCTTTTCTTTTGCATTCCCCTTGTAGTTGTAGCACTTTATTGCATGGACATGGATGTGTGACTTCTATATAATACAATACAAATACATTGCAATTGTGAAGCTTTTAGGTGTAGAAAATACACCAGTGGTTGTTAGGGCTGTCCTCTTCAGTACACAATTCTATTAAATGGTGAGATGTCAAGTTTGTTTTGAATTCGAATCGTCCCTCAATAATTACTCCCCTTACTCAATATGGTACGGGAAGATTGGGGACCATCTTTCTCGAACCTCCGTCACTTCAACCTTTAAGTTTGGTGAACCATAATATTTAACGTGCAAGCTTAAAGGTATGTTAATCATTTGACTGTAATCTCTCTGCTAAGTGTTTGGACGTAACCAACTTAGTTGTTCTTACAAAGTTGCAATTATTTCTTTCTCTGCCATAGATTATCTCAAAATTGTGCCAAACTATTCAGCACATTAACTATGTTATTTCTGTTGGTTTTGATTTCGTTCGAGTCACGCCATACCAACATACATATTTTCTTATTATTTCATACCACTATAACAATACTGTTTTTTCTGAATTTGGGTAAAAAAAACATTTTCCCACAGATTCTGCTATTATTTCGTATGCATTTGTGGGGTGTTACTATTTTCAGAACATTTCCTTGATGTTTTCTGCCAATTTCTAATTTGTTCTCATGTTTCCTCATGTAGTAGCTCAACGTGGCTCATCTTCCTCTGCTTCGGTGGAGTCTGAAAGCTGTGAAGAACTAGAACAAGTTGTTATCGCTCGTGTTCTTGCTAATTTACAGCCAACTGAATCAAACAACAAAAAAAATGATCACCAAGATGGACGTCAGAGATCCAATTCCACCCATGGGAACTTGAATCCACCAGCACCAAGCTTATGTCCAATGCAGTTTGAAAGTTGGGCTTACTCGAATTTCTCCTCAGAAATTGCCATGTATCAAATGTGGCAGCAAGCACAGTTGTCACAGCTGCAGAGTCGCGTGTTGGCGCTCCCAGTTCCACCAGCTCTCCCCCCCAGTCTTCATGTTCTTCCACGTATGCAGTCAGTATTCCAACCTGATCACAATATCTATTTCCCGGTACAGGAGCAAGAACCTGCGCCTGTGGGACCTGGGGTAACATTCACTGCTTTGAGGCCATCATTTTATATGGCAAGTCATTCAATTCCTGGTCCAATCAGGGGCAGGTCCATGGTATCTATTCAAGAGATACAAGAGGAGAAAACAGAAGAATCATCCAGTCGAACTGAAGTTCTTAATCCCCCAATTCTTGGTGACCATAAGACACAACCAATGATCCAAAAACCAGCAGAGGAGAAAAAACAGAAGAGTGGTGGTTTAGAAGCCAAAATTGAAGGCTCTGGTCAAACGGAAGGTAACCCCGCCAGGCAATTTGAATGGGTTCCTCCTAGGAGCAAAGACTCTGGATATAGGCCTGTTGGGTTCCAGTCTTCTCAATCAAATCATAGACCCTATCATCCTCCTAGAGCAAGTTCTCATGGACTCTCTAGACCACCGTCCACGGCAGCCCATGTATTGATCAGAAATGTGGGCCCTGCTTCTTCACTTGGACCCATTCCGCAGAATGTGGGTTACCAGATACCTGTTCCATTACAAATGAGAGCTGGAGTTGCTCCGTGTTCCACTAGAGCAAAAATGGAATTTGGAGGGCTGCATTCTCGTTTCGCTGCCCCTGCTGTTCAAATCAGATCAGTTGTACCGGTCTGTTCTGCCCCACCCACAAGAAAGATGCAAAGTTCTAGCCAGGTGGGGCAGTCCTCCAATCAGGTGGGGCAGTCCTCCAATCAAGAGGTAAAAAATACCGGAAAAGAAGACGTTCCAGCTGTGAGTGCAGAACTTAGTAAGCTTCAAATGTGAGCAGCACATAGATACTTCAGAATGCATTTTCTTTTTCTTTTCTTTTTCATGTTTATTTTACATATTGATAATTAGGAGGAGCTACCAAGGCTTCAAAATAGTTAGAATAAGGTAATATGGGGTATTTATTTGATCTCTCCTGGAAATATTGAAATGTAGTATGCTTTTCTTTACAATCTGCATATGAGATTTTTTTTTTTTTTTTTTCCTAAGATTTTGAGGCTGAAAAAGTATGTTTATTGATTGTAACTTGTAAGCAGTTCTGTGAACGTTATATGGTATATGATTGTTATTTCCCTTTTATATGCTGCTTCATCGAGGCATGGAAATTATTGACATCCTACAGACACATGCTCAATGCCATTTTCACCAACCAATGTGCATGCAAGTGTAGAAGTGAGAAAATATTTGCTGGTCTATGCATTTCGTGTTTCCAATGGGCATTAGCCCGTGTGGTAGACTCTATGAGTTCTCATCCCCAAGGGGAGGTTGAGTGTCTGAGCTCTGCTATGGGTAATATTGCGGGTGTGAGTAAGATGCACATTTGCATCCAAATGATAACCTTTGGTTTGTGTTTGAAAATGCAGAAAGTGGTGTTGAGATTATAGAGTCAAAACGCCAATCATGAGTAAATGAATCATCTTTTTTAATGGGGCTTCAAATGGAGTGTGCTTGATTTGAGATTTGTAACGATCCAATGTGTAACAATCCCATTGACATCCCAGTGGTGTTGAGATTACAGGAGGAATGGTTCTATTTCCTAAGGATTGTTACACATTGGAATATCAAATCAAGCATACCCCAAATTTGGAGTTTCACTAACATCGCTCATACCCATTTGTTCTTAAAAGGGGTAGTTGAAAGCGATGGTGGAGATCAAGCATGAGGCTTATTGATTGTGATTAAATTATCAATCAAATGAGGTCACTCACATGATAAGAATAACGAATTGAAATGGAATGTTTATTTCGTATAAAATTTTTAAGTGGGAATAACCTTGAAATGAAAATCCATTCCACATTTAGACCTCATGGAAGGTGTAACAAGGGTCATTTTGTCCTACATCGGAATCGGATGGGAAAAAGATTGGGTATAAATGGGTGGGTATGCAGCCTTACCTAACAGTTCGAGCTTTTGGGTAAATGGGCAAGCGCCCACCCGTTACAGTTGGTATCAGAGCCAAACCCAGTCCTTGATCCGGCGCCCGGCCCGAAAGGCGTCCGGGTGAGTCGACCCGGGTAGGCAGGGTGGCCCAACCGCAACAAGGGCGTTGCGAGTTTGGGTGGGGGAGAATGTAACAAGGGTCATTTTGTCCCACATCGGAATCGGATGGGAAATAGATTGGGTATAAATGGGTGGGTATGCAGCCTTACCTAACAGTTTGAGCTTTTGGGTAAATGGGCAAGCGTCCACCCGTTACAGAAGGTCATTTCATTTTCAAGTAAAATCTTTTTAAAAATCAAATTTCTAAAAAATCATGATGTTCCATGTCACGGCCCTAGTTTTTCAAATCAGTGCGTCCTATGATGATCCGTAAATGGACCCTACAATGGATCACGAAATGAGGAAGCTAAGTTTAAAAACGGACAATTTTTTTAGCCCTAGGGGCAAAATGGTCATTTTTGAAAAGATACAAGTGCAATCGAGCACACCATTGGATAGATGATGAAAAATTAATAAATTTCAAAAAAATAATCATCTCATTCGGAATCCGGACGAAAGAGAATGGACCCGGAGAAGAAACGGCGGCCCAAGGCACTAGGCCAGCATGCCCATGCGCGCGCGCCACGCGCCCAGCGCCCCTACCCATGCCCAAAAAAAAAACTGTTGCTGTGCATTTTTTCTGATTTTTCCAAAATTGAGAGTTGTTTTGGACCCCTAAACGAATTTTTTTGGAAAAACACAAAGAAAAAATCCTTCTTAAAATCAAGTTTTCTAGCTAACCATGTTGAAAGAAAATTTTAATTTGCGATGTGAAATGCCCAGAATACCCTTAGATCAGTTTTAGTCAAAAACAATAAAAATATAACTTTGCACCAAGTGTTCATTTGACCTTATATGGAGTTGTGTGTTAAAACAATTATGCACGCAAACGTAAATAGTGATTTTAAGTGTACGGGAATGACCCGTGGACCCCATATAAGCCCGATACAAAATTTGACTTATCAAAGCTCAATTTTGCCTAAAATGGACTTTTAAAAGAAATTTTGAAACTAAAAATTATAAAATAGTTTCAAAAGACCGTTTGGCCCTTGCTACACTTCATGCATAAATAAAGGGACCTTATGAATGTGCCTTAGTATATTTCCTACCACCCATACAAATGTAGTGAAGGTAAAGCATGTTATTTTTCCATTTTTCATTAATATCTCTTGAAACAAAAAGCACCTAGAAAACAAATAACAGGCACTTGGCCCATGGCCTCATTACATACATGTCAAATACATATCAAAAGTTGCACTTATGTGCACATTATATATTTAGAACAAAATATTCATGTATTGACATATAAAGCTAAAAGCAAGGCATTTTATGCTAACAAGTGCATGAATATGCTACAACTATATACTCCAAGTATCCAAAAGTGTTCAAGGATGTGATGTATCCCAAAACAATGTTTTTTTACCTGAAAAACAACCCAAACGACTAGGTTGAGTAAACAAGTTACTCGTAGGAAATGAATATGCGTATAACCTAAAGTTTTACAAGTTTTTCAATTTAATATAAACTAATCCATGTGGTACATGCCACCTAACGTCTATGTTCCAAATGAGTCTAAAGGATCTTCCTAAGCCACATTAGAACATTAAATCATAATTAACAACATTAATGCTATTTAACTCAAATTGGAACTTCCAATATAATGTAACAAAGTATAAATTCACAAAGTAAACAACTTGGAATTTAAATGCGAAATCAACAAGTTGCGGAAAAGACAAAGTTCATGTGGTCTCAATGACTAAGCAAGTGATTTCGGGTTACTAGCTCGCAAGGTACTACCTAGTGCGCACTATATGTTGTAGAGGGAACTCTTATCCCCCATACTAAAGCCATGCCCTAGCCTTAATATATTCCAATATCCATACAAGCTTTTCTAAAATTATCAAGTTGTGCAACAAGTATATCACATATACACAATGCACATTATCAATTACCATGCACAACCAAGTCATGGAATACACACAAGATATGCCTTAGGCCTTTAAGCTACAATGGCATATCAAATGTCATATAAGTATAATGTGTATACTAACAAGTTAAATTATAACTTCAACTTATGCAATACTATCATGTAATCATACAACAAGTTCCAAATTATCAATTAAGCAAGAATACAACATCAATACCTAATTACCTCAATGGAAGCATATATTTAGAATTTAATTAAATCAAATAATTAAATTTTCAAGATTACAAAGCAACTCCAAAAATTTTAAAAATAATATATGTCAAAGGTCATATCAAGGCCTAATTTAATATAAAGTCACAAGCTAATCCTACATTAGTTACAACTAGGTAAATTAAACTCAATGCCAAGAAAATAATTAAATAAAGTTCTCAAAACACATTTAAACATTCTCAATTTAATATATGTGAAAGAACATGCTAAGATCATCAACAATATCAAGTTAAAAACTTAAACAAGTCATTGGAGCAATTAAATAAAAATTAATTAATTTAAAATAATTAAATCTCTAGATTTTAAAACTACTCCAATTAACTTTATATTAAGACAAGTTATAGATCAAGTCATGGCCTTCAAAGATATCATGTCCTAACTTAATTTCATGCAAGGTACAACGACCTATTAACTTAAAAATTAAGTATAAGACATGTAAACAATTTATAGTAAGCTACAAAAACAATTAAAACACTTAGATTATAAACATAAATCACCCCCTACCTCACAAGAGGATTGTTTCTCTTGAATCCAAAGCAAACAAAGGAATTTTTCAATTTCCTTCAAGGGTTATATAAAGGAAGGTGAGACAAGTGTTTTGTGTTCTAAGCTTTTAGGTCTAAAGTGAGTGGAAGGAGATCAAAATCAAGGTTTTAAGCCTAGGTTAATGGTTTCCTTCAATGGTGGGTAGGGTTTTAAGTGAAGAAGAAGAAGTTCAATGTGCAAAATGAAATAATAAAACACTTTAATTAAATCCTCCACTCACTTGGTCAAGGAAAGTCAAACACACTTAGTCTTGCACTATCTTCTCACACACACAAAAGCTAGACTTCAATGAGAAGCCTACACTTGTCATTAATCCAATGGTTTATTCTAGGCTTAATCTATGGCCTACACTTGTCAACAATCCAAGCCAACAAGTGCACCAATGCTAGGCCAACAAGTGGGTGAATCTTCACTCTCCATATGTCATCATCCAAGGCTTCCAAGTGTGAACCAATGAGATGCTTACAAGTAGCGAATGAGAGTGCGACACTTGTCACACTTTTTGATAATTGCAAAAAGGTCATTTTTGAAAATATCTTCCAAAATAAATTGCAAAAAGGTCCCTAGTGTAATACCCCTAATTTTAAAATGATAGTCCTGGTATTTAATTAATTGTTTTATTTGTATTTTGATCTGATTATTTGTTTATTTATTTATTTTGCCTGTTTATTTGAATTGTTTTATTAAATTTGATTATTTGTTTATTTATTTATTTTGCCTGTTTATTTGAATTGTTTTAGTTAATTGTATTTTTATTTTTCTGTAATTGAATTAATTGATTATTAGTTTTCTTTCATTAACGTAATTGTTCTAATTATATAAATGTGGTAAATGGATTACTATTAGAGTTTTGGTGTTTTAGCATCGTGTGTTAACCGACTTATAGTTGGTTTAGAATTAGAATTAGGTTTATAGTGAAGCCTATATATACAACATTATACGTTGGTATAGGGTTACAAACAAACCCTATTCACGTAGTGAAAGGCGGAGAGAAACAGAGAGAAGGACTTGAGAGAAACAGAGAATGAAGTTGAGAGATAAACAGAAGGGTTCAAGGAGGATGAGACAGAGTGCTTCTGGGTTGAACCAAGAGCAACGGAGGAGTGGAACGGCAACTTAGAAGGTGGTCGGAAAACTCAGAGACTATGGTTTAGAGTTTTAAAACTGAAACTCAAGGCAAGTCTATATTTTAACTCTTTCCCTTAAACCTGTGTTCTGTGCATATCTAGGTACACTCCAAGGGTTTATTTAATGCTAAAATATATCTTTGAGGCATGTTTAAACTATAATTGCATGGCTTCGTTAGAATAAACTGGTTTGATAATTTTTTAAGTTTTCAAACTGAATCTTTCCTTTCTTGATTGTAAGCTTTGTGTAATTGATGTTGTTAATACATAATGATGTCTTGTAAATAATCTGGGATATTGAATGAACACTAGAACAAGTATTTAAAATTATTACAGAGGCCTGAGTACAGCCGGAGACGAAGAAGACGAAGCAGAATCGCATAACGGCTCTCGGGAGTGAGAGAGCAAGCTCTCAAAAGGAGGGAGCCAACTCCCTCACTAATGGAGCCGGCTCCAAGGAGTGTGGAGCCGGCTCCCAACATGTAAGAGCAGGCTCCCAACATATAAGAGCAGGCTCCCAACATCTAGGAGCAGGCTCTCAATTTTAGAGAGCATGCTCTCGCCCTAAATTGCACAGTTTTGGTATTTAGGGGCTGTTTGGACTATACAGGGTTTCCTTATTTCGTTTAAACTGTTTTAAATGGTGTATGGGACTGTTATAGACCTGTAATAGTATCGGGAAACATTAATTCATAATTGGATTAGGGAATGAAGTAAGATGGATTTAGGGAAAAACTTGTATACTATACACTGTTGTGTTAATTAAATTACTTGCTAAGATTTGGAGCTTCTGTTATATATAATTTTATATTGTTTAATTATATTTAAACAGAGTTATAAGTATAGTAAATTCTTGAAATCATCTATGCTTGGTTTGGTATGGAATAAATTGATATATATGTTCTATTAATTGTATCAATTTATGGATTATATGGAGGATTTAAGTGCTATGACTCATTATAGCAATTTAAATAGTTGGAATGTAATTTTTAGGTTCTGTAATGAATGCCTAATGTTATGATATATGTATTAAACTGTATTTATGCATATCCTGGCTAATGGTTGATAAATAACAATTATGTTATTTGGAGGATTATATGCACCGGTATGGGACGGTGGCATACTAGGGATGGATTAGTTAAAACACTAAGTCCTACCTATTTTGGAATAAGTTGGATTAACTATAAAAAGTTAAGTCCTACTTATATGGATGTTTATGCACCGGTATGGGACGGTGGCATACTAGGGACGACTTAGTTCAAAACATTGGGACCTGCTTATACTGGGGATGGATTAATTTAAACACTAAGTCCTACCTATTCTGAAATAAGATGGATTAACTACAAAAGTTAAGTCCTACTTATATCTATGTGTCAGGTCAATAAACCTTTTGAATGACACACCTTGAACGGACTTTATATATTTACGTTATGGGGCCATGGTATAAGCTTGAATCTCAGAACCATGGTTAAGGTGCGTATATCGCCTGGGATGGATAACTGGACATAGGTGTTGTTCCCTGGTAAGTCTAGGTATACATAACCACATTATGTGCGATTTGCATGGTATCCCTACTCAGGTTGAGACAGACCTATTGGACTAGTGAGCGTCCTATAGTGTGTACTTATACATATATGGACTATTCTAATTATTGTTGAGCTATCTAGGATGTATCTGCGTATCGGGTTTCTGTATGAATCGTAGTAGGATATGACTTGCATGTGGGCCTGATCCACTTTCTTATTTTTCAAGTGTTCGTCAGTTCCAGGGTTAGAGCTTGGACGTGCAGAGCAGATACAGGCACTCATTCCTCTGATTACATAGGATCACTTTCCATATTTAGCTTTGGACTTGTTACAGTTGTCTCTTTATAGTTTAGGTTTTTATTAGGGGTCCACTAGATGGATTCCCGAGTTGTACAGATATTAAAAATTTTGAATAAGTTGGATTTTAATTATATAATTTTGAGAACTTTTAATTTAGAATTCTTCCAGCGTATTATTATTTTATTCTTATCTTAAATTTGTATTATGTGCTTATTTACATATTAATTGTTTTGTATCCCTCGAATCTGTACTCGGATTTGATCACCCATGGCTCTTGAATCGAGGGGTATCACACCTAGGAAGAAAAATAATTATTTTCCATAATTGCGAAAAAATCCCGAAAACAAATAATGTTTCCGAAGAAACTATGCATCTATGCCCTTTACGTAAAAGTAAACATTAAGCATGCTTTTCTAGAAGAAAAAAAATACACGAAGCATAGAATTTAAATATCTTGGATGCTTGCAAAGCCGGGAAAAAATCCGAGCTCAAAAAATGAGGTTACGCGAAGAAAACAGAACTCGGGAAAAAGACGAATAACGAAAAAAAAAAAAAAAAAATTTGCCAAAAAAGAAAAAGGGAGTAAATGACCGAGTCATTACATTCCAAGTCCAAATCTCCATCACCACTGCCTTTCGCCGCATCACCGCCTTCCCCAACCGCCACACCTTCCCCTGTTTCCGCCACCACCATCGCCTTCCACCACTTTCATCGCCACCACCTTTCACCACTACCACTTAGAATGGTGATTATCATTTTATTTTTTCATCATTTCATAATTGCAACCAAATAAGGGAAGGCATAGTTTGGTATGGACATTTCATTCCATTTCAATCATTTCCTTGTTTGGTATGACATTTTAGAGTTTATCGGTTGTGGGTTAACTCCCTTTTTTCCCGGACCCCCAAACTGTTATCTGCAGCAACCATTCTACATTAGCAAAGAACTCTCCAATGTGTGTGTTTTTTTATGCTTTTTTTTTTTCAAAATCTGTATTTTTAACCCAATGGGATTTTAAATTGTGTAATGGGGTCGGGTAGGATTCAGTCAATCCTGCCCAAACCCGGCCCGTTGCACATGGTCATATATTAAAAGTAAATGCTGTCGTATAGACACTTTAGTTCTTTAACCTATATGAAATCATGAATAAGGGTGTGCAAAAAAATCATCAACCGGAAAAACTAAATCGGACTGAACCGAATCGGGCGGTTTGGGCTGGTTCCATAATGGCTCGGTCTGGTCACGGTTCTAAAATAATAGAACCGTGAATTTTTGGTTCGGTCCCAAATTAGGATCCTACAGGACCGGACTAACCCAAACCGAACCGTTATAATATGTATATATATATATTTTATATTATATATATATATATATATATATATCTATACTTATATACTGCTCTTAACATTGCAAGGAATTTCAACACAACGATCAAACGTGAGCCAACATTCATCACTATCTAATTTTTTTTTTTTTTTTTTCTTTCTCCCAATGTTTTGATTTTTGGGTACGTTCCAACATCCCTCCACTATCTTATTTTTTGTTATTGTTGCGGTATCTAGTTGTTGATCAATCTCTCTCACGCAACCTTCGAAGTTCGGTCATTGCCGTTGATCTTTTATTACAGCTGTCAGTGACATCCTTTCTCACACTCTCTCCACAGATCTCTCAGTCTGAGAGCGTATTTGTGCCTCAAGCACAATCAACAATCAAGTTTCATAGTTTTCAACCACAGATTTATCATCCTTTTCAGTTTCAGCAAGATTTAATCTTATTTTAATTTCTAAGGTTTAGTTTTTGGGTCTATTTCACCCACCTTCCCTTATGTTTTTCTCTATCTATTTTAATCCTGGATTTGGGAATGTGAATGTTTTCATTATTATTTTTGTTATCTATACAATTCTAAGGGAAAAAAATTTCAGCTAGAACCATAGAACGGGACCGAACCAACCTATTTTTTCACAATTTGGGTTGGTTTGGTTCCATAACTCAAATAGTTTGATTAGATTTCAGATTTTTTGAAACCGTAGAGGGTTGTTTAGTTCCAAAAATCCTCAAAAACCCGACCAAACCCTAATCGTGAACCCGGTAGCCTGGCACAACTCCTCCTCAAACCCTTGACCCTCCTTACTTGTCGCAGTCTCTCTTTATAAACGCAGCAGAGAGAAGCGGAAACACTATAAGTATTTTAGGGTTTTCTACTCGGTCCTGTTCTTAGTTTGCTTTATATCATCACAGGCTCATCTCTTCTCCTCGAGGCACAGTACATTATTCTCTGTTTCTGCTAATCTAATCTTTTTTTTTTTTTTTTAATCACCATTGTAAGGGTTACGAGAGTAATCAAAGACATAAAATTGGCGGATTTTGCAGGTTAATATGGTGTTTAACCGAGTGTTTTAGGATATGATTGTGTTAATGATTATTGCAGGTGTTCTTTGAGGCGTTAAATATGCTTGTGTTGTTTGAAACTCCTGCGGGTTTTGCCCTTTTCAAAGTATTGGATGAAGGGAAGCTCTCCAAAGTTGAGGTAATTGGTTTCATTTTATTTATTTATTTATTTTTAATTCAGCTGTTCTTATCTATCTATATATATAAGTATCAATGTGTGTAGAAATTTGTGGGTGTAAAATTTGTTTGGTTTTAGGTATGAAGCTTGTGTCCTTGTTTAGTAATCGTTTGATTTATATTGCAGGATTTGTGCAAAGAGTTTTCGACAGCTGACTCAGCTAGACAGGTCATATCTGTGTTTCCTCTCTCTCATTAAAAAACATATACTTGTATACTTGTATGCATATGTTTGTGTGTGTGTATATATATATATACATATATATCTTACTATTTGTATTGCTTTTGAGATTCTTGGGTCTTATAGTTTTATTCTCTGGTTACTTTTTATAGATAGATGCTCATAGGTGAAATTGGTTACAAGCTCTGCAATATATCTCAAAAAGAAAAAGGAAAAAAAAAAAAAGTGAAAAACAAATAGAAAGAGGAGTCACTGTAGAATTGGAACTTTGATATGCTATTGAACTATTTTATGATGGTGTAATCAACTTGTTTAAGTTGGTATTTAGGAGTCTTATACATGCAAAGTTGTCTGTCATGGTAACTTCGCATTGATACTAGTTTTTCTTCTCGGAAGAGCATCCATCTAATGGAATGTTAGTTGACATGTTAGAAGGGAAATGAAGCCTGAGTTGGAGTGTCATTTTAATATTGGGTCAACTTGTGATGTCTCCTCTTGCATTGTTTGAAATGCACTTGGACTGTGTTAGACATAGCTGTTATATGCTTTGTAAATTTGCAAAATTTTTGTATTCTATGCATTGGAGTGAGAATTCCCGGATTCTTTGTTTCTTATTTTATTGATGTTTGTGTTAATATCAGTTTATTTTAAGTTTGATAATCCTATCACAGACATCTATGGATCAGTTGCATTGATTGATTTTTTCAATTGTAACCTGATAAGCATTTGTCTATTCCTTGTGTTGTTTCTGAATATTATCAGTTTCTAAAACTGCAAACTTTTTTTCCCTTATGATACTGTTATCATGTCCATTTACCTGATGGGTAAATTATAAGGTTTATGATGCAATAATTTATTTGTTTTCCTCGGAAGTTTTCTGTGTTCTTGTTCTTATTCTTGCTTTAATTTGTCATTAAGTAATTGATCTAATTGTTATTTTTTAAATCAAAATTAGGTTGTGAAACTAAAAGCTTTCTCTAAGTTTGAGAACACATCAGAGGCCCTGTCTGCTGCCACCTTATTGATTGATAGCAAGCCCAGCAAAGGTCTCCGCAAGTTCCTGCGTGCCCATTGTGATGGTGAAACATTGGCTGTGGCTGATTCTAAACTTGGAAATGCAATTAAGGATAAACTGGTCAGCTAACACCTTAAATCTTGAGAAATATCAGATGTCATTACATTGATTCCCTGCTTCCACTTTATTCCATTTTAAGTTGGATCATTTAATGTCCCACAGAAAATTGAATGTGCTCACAACAATACCGTGATGGAACTGATGAGAGGGGTGAGAAGTCAGTTGACTGAACTCATATCTGGTCTAGCGACTCAAGATTTGGCTCCAATGAGCTTGGGTTTATCCCACAGCCTCTCTAGATACAAGCTAAAATTCAGTCCTGATAAGGTGACTTCCTTTTTATAATTGTTATTATTTTTATTGATTGGCAAGGTGGATTTGCTTGTTTTTATATTCTTGGCTTCCACTTTTTTTCCCCCTTTTTTCTTTTCATAAGCAACTACATATGTAGATAGAATCAATGCTTGTAATGAACAATGGATGGATCAAAATAGGAAGTAAGCTAATTAGGTCTGTTTTCTTTTTACTCTTTCAATTAAAACTGAATTCTCAATATTATCACTTAATTTTTGCTGTTCTACTAGGTGGACACAATGATCATTCAGGCCATTGGCTTGTTGGATGATCTTGACAAAGAACTGAACACGTATGCAATGAGGGTTCGAGAATGGTACGGGTGGCATTTTCCAGAGCTTGCAAAGATCGTACAAGATAATATCCTCTATGCCAAAGCAGTAAAGCTGATGGATAATCGTTCAAATGCTGCAAAGCTTGATTTCTCTGAGGTAGAACTTTTATTTTGTTCTCAATCACAATTGTGCTGACTAGGTCTATCCATATGGGCAGCAAATTATGTTACCATTTGTTGTTCGTAGTAGGTTTTGAAATCCGAAATCCGAAATCCGCCTCTTCACTTTATCCTTTTGCTTTTCATATTAAGGCACCATATGCACCCACTAATTTTGGCCCAATTGTACTGCCTGTACGGTTTAATGACAAGTCAGTGGAAATGAAATTGTAACCTCTCCCAACTCCAAGACCCAATCGGGGCAGCATGGAGATCATCCGATGGTATCTTGTTCAATAGTCCTTGCATAATTCTAGCAATTCTTCAATTATTGTGGAAAGGTATTGGGTATTCTGTACAGAAAGTTATGGGTTGGATTGAATCGATAGGGAAATCTGCTAGGTTTATATTGATCTAGGTTATTGAAGTCTGTTGCGCATCAAATAAGTTTTCTGATGCTTGTTCCTGAAACTATGTTTTTAGAGCTAGGAAATTACTTTCTATTTTGGCATTTGAGTTGGTGATTATTAATGCTCATTGTAAATGTTCACAGATATTGCCAGAAGAGATGGAGACAGAACTGAAAGAGGCAGCCATGATTTCTATGGGTACTGAAGTTAGTGAGCTTGATTTGATCAACATTAAGGACCTCTGCGACCAGGTTCTCTCTCTTACAGAGTATAGAGCGCAATTGTATGATTACTTAAAGAGTAGGATGAACACAATCGCGCCAAATCTTACCGCTCTTGTTGGAGAACTAGTTGGTGCCCGTCTTATTGCACATGGGGGCAGTTTATTGAATCTTGCAAAGCAACCTGGGAGTACGGTTCAAATTCTTGGTGCGGAAAAGGCTCTCTTCCGAGCTTTGAAGACAAAACATGCAACCCCCAAGTATGGACTTATCTACCATGCATCTTTAATTGGGCAGGCAGCACCAAAACATAAAGGAAAAATTTCCCGATCTCTTGCTGCCAAAACTGCATTAGCAATTCGATATGATGCTCTTGGAGATGGTGAAGACAACACCATGGGATTGGAGAACCGAGCTAAGGTACTAGGGATCATTAGTTGGCAAGTATCTATGCTTCTTGTACATTCGTCTTTTAGTTAAAAGAAATTCGTGTAATCTTTCATAGCTTGAAGCACGATTAAGGCAGCTTGAAGGCAGAGAATTGAGTCGTTCTGCTGGTTCAGCTAAGGGCAAACCTAAGATAGAATTCTATGACAAGGACCGTAAGAAGGGAGCAGGAGCATTGATAACCTCTGCCAAGGTCTGTAATTTATTTCAAATGGTTGTATAATATTGTTGATTTTTTGTCCTAGTTGCATGCAAGTAATGACTCCTTGTTTTCTGTAGACTTACAATCCTTCAGCGGATTCTCTTCTTGGGCGGACTGAATCAGCAGCTGAGAAAGAAGTCACAAAGAGGAAGCGTGAAGCAGAACCATCTGAGACTGCCGCAGCAGGAGAGGAGATGACTGCTGCAACTGATGAACAGAAGAAAGAAAAGAAGAAAAAGAAGAAGAAGAAAGCTGAAGAAGAGGTTACAGACTTGCCTGAAGATGGGGCCTCTGCTGAACCAGAAAGTGAAGAGCGGAAAAAAGAAAAGAAGAAAAAGAAGAAACATTTGGCTGAGAATGTTGAGTTGGACAACAATGGCAGTAATGTTGAAGCAGGAGAGGAGATGACTGGTGCTACTGATGAACAGAAGAAAGAAAAGAAAAAGAAGAAGAAGAAGAAAGCTGAAGAAGAGGTTACAGACTTGCCTGAAGATGGGGCCTCTGCTGAACCAGAAAGTGAAGAGCGGAAAAAAGAAAAGAAGAAAAAGAATAAACATTTAGCTGAGAATGTTGAGTTGGACAACAATGGCAGTAATGTTGAAGCTGGAGAGAAGAAGAAAAAGAAGAGGAAACATGCTGAACCGGATGAAGAAGAAACTGAAACACAAAGCAAGAAGAAAGAGAAAAAGAAGAAATGTGAAGTATGATGAGGTCAGTTGAAGTTTATGGGTGAGTAGGAAACTTAACAATTTTGGGTTATCTTAGGCGATGGGTTGATGTTCGTGTAAAATTTATGCAAGTTCTCGTGGAATCTCTAGACCACCTTCCACAGCAGCCCATGTATTGATCAGAAATTTGGATCCCCTGCTTTTTCACTTGGATCTAGACCGCAGAATGTTGGTAACCTGATACCTTCTCCATTAGAAATGGGAGCTGGAGATGCTTCATGTTCCACTAGAGCAAAAAATGGAATTTGGAGGGCTGCATTCTCGTTTTGTTGCTCCTGCTGTTTAAATTTCGTCTCGCCTGGGAGAAAGATGCAAAGTTCCAGCGCAAGTTCAGAACTTAACTATGCTTCAAATGTGAGCAGCACATAGATATTTAGAATGCATCTTCCTTTTCCTTCTTTTTTTTCATGTTTATTTTACATATTGATAATTATATATTACGAGGAGCTGCAAGTCTTCAAAATAGTTGGAATAAGATAATATGAGGTATTTATTCGATATCTCCTGGAAATATAAAAAAATTAGAATGCTTTTCTTGCTATCTGCATCTGATAATTTTTTTCGACTTCTTTTTTGCCCTTTTGTGTGTGTGAGGCTATGTTCTAAGATTTTGAGGCTGAAAAAGTATGTTTATTGATTGTAAGCATTTGTGTGAACCTACATAACATAATATATGATCCCATGACCCTTCTATATGCCTGTTTCATAGAGGTATGGAAATTATTGACATCCTAGACACAGGCTCAATTCCATTGTGTGTACGTTTGTGCTCTTTCGCAGTATAATTTATTCATATATTGGAGTCTTTTTTTTTTTTTTTTTTTTTTTTGGCTTTGGCATCTTGAAGCGACAAATCGGAACAATGCGGTGTCATGGGGACCCAAACCAAAACTTGTCTCTTCAATGGAATCTGTCAGTCTCCTCCTTAATGCCCAAGTTTCTGTGCACTATTTAACACATCGTCATCAATGGAATCTGTCAGTCTCCTCCTTAATGCCCAAGTTTTTGGCCCTCTCTGAGAAATCGTCATGACAAGAAAGGGAATGCTAGTTGTTGACCTTGTGTCTGTTGTTGAACTTGTGTGTCAAGGCACGACAAAAACAGAGAATTAACAGACTGTCACTGATGGAGGTGATTCCGACCGCAGAGAGGAATTGAGAAAAGCACGAGTTTCATCAGATGACAACACCTTTGTCGAAATCGGGCACTTATTTTCTTTCACATCGGGAATTCCCCATTTGTCAAAATCCTTTCACATTGGTACGATGTTTTACGGCAAAGATTTCCCCACGATGACGACCATTCATACGGTTCTTCAAAGAATATCTAATGCGGAGAATGATTATCAGGAGAGATTATATGGCCAAAAATACTTTGGCTCCTAGAAAGGAGAGGCGGTGTGCAGAATTATATGGCCGTCATATATACTATATATGTATATATATATATATATTACTTGCCAAAAAGGAAAAGGAGATATTACTTGCTAACAAAGTTTCAGGTTTTGGGAGATTGGCGTTTGGAATTTGGCTTCTTGACAAAAAATCTATAGATAATACATATATAAATGTAGGGTTTCCCTTTCTTTGTTTTCTCATTTACTTCGGTTAATTAGGGTTTACCTTTTATATTTTTATTGGGCAATACAGCCCAACTTTAGTCGGAGAGGCCCATAGGCACAAAGAAAACAAAGGTCACAAAACGCAAATAGTGGCCCAGATTTTGTGGCCCAATCAAACTCTGGAGAACTACTTTTGACATCCGATTCTGAAACAGTAGGTGGTTTGTGCCCTTGTTTTTTGGGCCATGTTTTGTGCTCTTTTGTTCACATGTGCCAATGGCCTGTTTCTTCAGCATAGGCTGAAGCCTACCTTAGTTTATACAACATGCTCTTTATTTATTATTAAAAAAAAAACACCCACTTCTTTATTCTTATGTTTCAAAAATAAATCTTAGCAAATTAATTACAAAAAAATTAAAATTTCTAATTTTCCTGCCATTGAACTGAGGATTGTACAACACCATTCTTCTTGAAATCTAACCATTTTGTCAATCAATTTTTGTTGACTTTTGAGAATCTCAAATTTTTATTTGTAGAATTTTGATGCACAGATGTTAGAAAAACTCCATCTTGCTATTTTGAATGCAACTATCAGAATAATTTTCAAAGAATTAAACAATTTTTAGTTTTTTGAGTGTAAAAATAAACCAGTTTGAAAAAACTACAAAATAGTTTCTAAAAAACAAAAACTACACACATACAACAATATGAGTGCTCTTGTACTTTTAGTGGCACAGTCATTTTAAGTTTGAGTTCTACAACTGCATAGAATGTGTAGATAAATCTATCTTCCCCTTGGGCTCTTTGTAAAGCAAAAACAAGAATTACACAACCAACAAGAGTTTACATGGAACTGAAATTAAAACAAAAATAATTATATCACAATGAGTAACACAAAACAGAGCAGCTACTGGTGTGTTAACATGTTTGACGAAACAGTCTTTAAAACATGGTGTTCTTCCATTGATCCCCCAAAATTCTCCTCAACACTTGAGTTTCATCATATACTGGCCTCATCTCAACCATGATGCCCACGAAAACAAAAGGAACACTACCAGTACGAAAACTTGTGTCATTAATAATGTTGGCACAGCATAAAGAGAGAATGTAATGAAATAAGTGACCAACCACGGAGGTTATTCCGACTAGGCCGGAATTGAGAAAACCATGAGGGTGGTCTGTTAACATGTTTGACGAAACAGAGATCAATTAATGAGTAGTCCAAACTAGGTTAAAAATAAAAAATAAAAAAAAAAGGATTTAAGTAAAACATGACTAGCACAACAATAGAAGAAATGACCAAAAAGGAGGGGGAAAATGACACAAGCACTACCAATTGCAAATAAATCTAACTCCTTCTCAGTGGTGGAGTAATTCAATTAAGCTTCGTTTTGCTTGCATAGTATATGACGCATGGTAGTTTACCCACCCTTTGGCCTAAGACGGCACCCATTGCATGGTCAAACGCATCGCACATGATTTCAAATGGTTGGGACCAATTTGAGGTTGCATGATGGGAACGGATGATAGAAGAGATCGAAGTTGATAAAAAGCATCTAGACATGCTTTATCAAAAACAAATGGAGTCTTCTTGACAAGTAAATTACACAAGGGTCTAGCTATCTTGCTAAGTGACTCTAAGCAATCTAAGATCCTACACTGACACACCATTAATTTTTAAATTTTAGCAGTTACTAAAAAAAATGTTAACAAAGAAAGAAACAGAAATTACCTATCTATTTTACCTATAGTTGTTTGAACACCATAAAACAATATGCAGCCATCAGCTCATCAAGCTGCTCAACAACACATGAACAAACTGAACATCAAGCATTTCCTGGGAAGGCAAACAAGAGAAAAGGAAATATTTTAAAAAAACAATTTTAAATTTATAAAGAACCATCTACAACATAAGAAAATGCAAAAAGGAAAAGAAGACAATTTGCGACCCGATTAATTTTGTTTCATATATTATTCAGCGATTGGGAGCAACCAAGCATATCCTCTCCAGACTCCCATATAACAACATTTCCACAATTGCACATGTAATAAGTATACGTGTTTGTATGCGTGTATATATTAGAAAAGAATGAAGATTTGACATATTTCTACCGTGAAATATGTTTTAAAGATAAATGATTAAAAAATACAAGACACGTAGAGTATACATGTTTGCATTCCTTTAATTTCTTTTTTCCTTTTTTTTTTTTTTTTTTGTACCAAATGTTCCTGGACACTTCTGGTGATAAATAATTTAATGCTTCTAGAATATTGATGACATGGTATGACCGATCTATTAAATGCGTAGATCCTCTATACATAATGTGATAAGTCGATGACAATTTGGGAACAAGTGCCACAGAGCCACACCACAAGAATTGGATGAGTTCGGGTTAAAGGCTTGCCACCTAACTTCTAGGTCATGCCAAGAGGCCTCATCCACCAAATGATAACCTTAGGTTCGTGTTTTAAAAACAATCCTTGTGAAATTACTAAACATCGACTAATGTTGATGCAGAAAATGGTGTTGAGATTGTAATCAAAGTGTTTCAATAGTAGCAAATGTTTATCCAATAATAAACTGCAACTAATGTTGATGCTGATGATAAACCGCCAAGAACAAGTAAATGATTCATCTTTTACTATGACTTCAAATGGAGTGTGCTTGATTTGAGATTCAATTTGAAGTCCTCCTTTTATCAGGTTTGGATCTGCTTTTGAATCTGAATTCAAAAATGGGTTGCATGGATCACATCCCATGTTGTTCATATTACAATTTCGGATTCAAATATGAATCCTGACATTAAGGGTATGTTTGGTTATATAGAATTAGAGTCTTAAAATTGAAATTGAAGAAAATTTTTGTATAACTTTGAACTAAATTTTTCCTCCAATTTCAATTTCATATAACCAAACATTAAATGGATTTAGATATGAATTCATATGAATTTGCTCCATTTTCAACCCTTAGTTCTCAACTTTAACTAATATTTTGGTGTAGATTAGTGTTGCTTGATTAAGAGAGTCGGTAAATTGATCAAGGACTAATTCAACCGCCCATTCCAACACCACTGCCGCTATTCACCTCCACCACCACCGTAATTGCTATCTACCACTGCCGTCATTTCTTTTTTAAAAAATATAGAATAATGTTATTTTGTTATTTTAATTTATTTGTCACTAAAAAGGATATTTTTACAGAAAGAATTTGCCACCCCTAGTTTGGATGCAAATATAAAAATATAGAATTAATGATTATTGCAAATATAGTTTGAGGCATTAGATGCCTAAAAAGACACCTTTACCCTTTCACCTACTCTTAATTTTCTCTTACATTTCCATTTTTATCCAAAACAGACCCATTCTCTCCCTCAAATTCCCTACGCCCATCCTCTATCTCCGCTATATGTTAGACACAGTTTTTATGAAAGAGGCGGATAACACACCGAATATCTCAAACTCAACAATTCACTCTTCACCTTAAAACTAAAGTTATGTTTTGGTTCGTAACTGGTAACTTTGAAAACATATAACTGTTTTCAGATAATTATAAAAGACATTTATTTGCAACACATCTAATTTTATAATTAAATTTTCAAAAAACAATTTTTAAATAATTAAACCATGCAAAGTCTTTGTGCAATTTTTTGATTTTCAATTATCTGAAAATAATTTTTTATTTTCAAAATTACAATCAAGCAAACCCTAAAGTTATCAATTTTCATAATTTTGACACAAAAAAAAAAAAAAAAAAAAAAAAAAAAAAAAAAAAAAAAAAACAACGGATTCAGATTTTGGAATGATCGTTATCGAGTTGATGCAGATTTTGGAATGATTGTTATATGGTGATGCAGATTTTGGAATGATTGTTATATGGTGATGCAATTATATGGTTTTCACAAATTTTTCTTGAAGCCTTCATGTTTATTTTTTGGTATTTTTATAGGTATTTATACATTCGTATATATACGCGCATAAGCGTGCTTATATAAGCTGTGATTTTAGGCATTTTGATTTGAATTTTTTTAGTTAAGTGGGAAAAACAAAAAACAAAAAAAAAAATTTGTTTAGTTGTGTATATATATATGTAACTCAAACCGGTTCAGGGTACGGATGGGTATGCATTAAACCCATTAATTAAACCGGGTTCAGGAGTGTGTCTATATATATAATACAACCTATTTCTCACTTTACTTTTAGGGTTTAAGAGCCGCAGCCCCCTCCCCCTCCCCCTCCACCAAAACCCTAACCCCGCTGCGAGCGACCACACCACTCCTTTACTAAAGCTGCGCTCCCACTCTCTCTGCGTCGACGACCCTCTTCCTCTCCTTTCTCTGGGCCGGCGATCCTCTCATCTCAAAGTATAAATCTGCAACTTAATATGGTGTTTAACTGAGTGTTTCAGAATATAATTGTGTTAACGATTATTGCAGGTGTACTTTGAGGCATTAAAAATGCTTGTGTTGTTCGAAACTCCTGCGGGCTTTGCCCTTTTTAAAGTATTGGATGAAGGGAAGCTCTCCAAAGTTGAGGTAATTGGTTTCATTTCATTATATATATATATATACGTCAATGTGTGTAGAAATTTGTGGGTCTTTTGGGTATGAAGCTCGCGTCCTTTTTTAATAATCGTTTGATTTCTATTGCATTATATATTGAGGTAATTGGTTTCATTATATTTATATATATATAAGTATCGATGTGTGTAGAAATTTGTGTGTATTTGGAGTATGAATCTCATGTCCTTGTATACTAATCGTTTGATTTCTATTGCAGGATTTGTGGAAAGAGTTTTCCACAGCTGACACAGCTAGACAGGTTATTTCTGTGTTTCCTCTCCCTCATAAGCATTATATACTTGCATGCCTATGTTATTGTGTGTATATATATCTTCGTCTTTGTATTGCTTTTTAGAATATGGAGTTTTATTCGATGGTTACTTTTTGGGACATGGTGAATTTCATTACAAGCTCTGCCATAAATCTGAAAAAGAAAAAAGAACAAAAAAGTGTGGAACAAATAGAAATAGGAGTCATTTAGAATTGGGACCTTGATGTGCTATTGAGGTATTATATGTTGGTGTAATCAACTTGTTTAAGTTGGTATATAAGTGTCTTATATCTGTCACGGTATCTTCACGTTTGATTCTATTTTTTTTTTTTGCTTGGAAGAGCATCCATCCAATGGCATGTTGATGTATCTTGCATTGCTTGAAATGCACATGGATTGTGTTAGTCATAGGTGTGTAAATTTTCAAAATTTATGTATTCTAAATATTGGATTGAGAATTTCCGGGTTTCTTTGTTTCTAATTTTATACTACTTTATTGATGTTTGTGATAATATCAGTTTATTTCAAGTTTGATAATCCCATCACGGAAAATAATTCGTATGTTCTTTTCAATTGTAACTTGACAATAATTTACCCATTCCTTGTGTTGGTTCTGACTATTGTCAGATTCTAAAACTTCAAACTTTTTCTTCCTTGTTCTACTGTTATCATGTCCATTTACCTGATCGGTTAGTAATGAGGTTTTTGATGCAATAATTTATTTATTTTCCTCGGAAGTTTTTTGTTTTCTTGTTCCCTGGTTTGGGTTCTTGCTCTTATTCTTTCTTAAATTTGTCATTAAATCATTGATCTAATTGTTATTTTTAAAATTAAAATTAGGTTGTGAAACTAAAAGCTTTCTCTAAGTTTGAGAACACATCAGAGGCCCTGTCTGCTGCCACCTTATTGATTGATAGCAAGCCCAGCAAAGGTCTCCGCAAGTTCCTGCGTGCTCATTGTGATGGTGAAACATTGGCTGTGGCTGATTCTAAACTTGGAAATGCAATTAAGGACAAACTGGTTAGCTCACACCCTAAATATTAAGAAATTTCAGATATCATTACATTGATTCCCTGCTACTTTATTCCATTTTATGTTGAGTCATTTAATCTCCTGCAGAAAATTGAATGTGTTCACAACAACACCGTGATGGAACTGATGAGAGGGGTGAGAAGTCAATTGACTGAACTCATATCTGGTCTAGCTACTCAAGATTTGGCTCCAATGAGCTTGGGTTTATCCCACAGCCTTTCTAGATACAAGCTTAAATTCAGCCCTGATAAGGTGACTTCCTTTTCATATTTGTTATTATTTTTATTGATTCTGGCAAGGTGAATTTGCTTGTTTATATATTCTTGGCTTTCTTTTTCTTTTCTTTTTTTCTATATTTTTTCTTTCTATAAGCAACTACATATATTGCTAGAATCAATGCATGCAATAAACAATGGATTATCAAAATGGGAAGTAATTCAATTAGTTCTGTTTTCTTTCTATTTCAATTAAAAAAACTGATTTCTCAGGATTAGCACTTAATTTTTACTGTTCTACCAGGTGGATACAATGATCATTCAGGCCATTGGCTTGTTGGATGATCTTGACAAAGAACTGAATACGTATGCAATGAGAGTTCGAGAATGGTACGGGTGGCATTTTCCGGAGCTTGCAAAGATTATACAAGATAACATTGTCTATGCCAAAGTAGTAAAGATGCTGGGTAATCGTACAAATGCTGCAAAGCTTGATTTTTCTGAGGTAGGGCTTTTATTTTGTTTTCAATCACAATTGTACTGACTAGGTTTATCCATATGGGCAGCAAATAAGGTTACCATTTTCTGTTTGTAGTAGGTTTTGGATTCCAAAATCCATCTTTTCATTTTATCCTTGAGCTTTATTATCACTTCTTTTTTTCTCTTCCCGAAAGGTCCCTTTAGCTTTTCATATTAAAGGCACCATATGCACTCACCATTCTGCCCGATTGTATTGCCTACCCAGTTTAATGACGACTCTGTGGGAATGAAATTGTAACCTCTCCCAAGTCCCAATCAGGGCAGCATGGAGATCATCAGATGGTATCATGTTCAATAGTTCTTGCATAATTCTGGTTATTCATTAATTATTATGGAAAGGAAATGGATATTTTGAACAGAAAGTTATGGCTTGGATTGAATGGATAGAGAAATCTGCTAGGTTTATGTTTTATCTAAATTATTTGAGTGTGTTGCATGTCAAATAGGTTTTCTGATGCTTGTTCGTGATACTATGGTTTTAGAGCTAGGAAATTATTTTCTATTTTGGCTGATTATGGATTTGGTGATTATTAATTAATGGCCGTTGTAAATGTTCACAGATATTACCAGAAGAGGTGGAGACGGAATTGAAAGAGGCAGCCATGATTTCTATGGGTACTGAAGTTAGTGAACTGGATTTGATGAATATTAAGGACCTCTGCGACCAGGTTCTCTCTCTTTCAGAGTATAGAGCTCAACTGTATGACTACTTAAAGAGTAGGATGAACACCATCGCGCCGAATCTTACTGCTCTTGTTGGAGAACTAGTTGGTGCCCGCCTTATTGCACACGGGGGCAGTTTATTGAATCTTGCGAAGCAACCAGGGAGTACGGTTCAAATTCTTGGTGCCGAAAAGGCTCTCTTCCGAGCTTTAAAGACAAAGCATGCAACCCCCAAGTACGGACTTATCTACCATGCTTCCTTAATTGGGCAGGCAGCACCAAAACATAAGGGAAAAATTTCCCGATCTCTTGCTGCCAAAACTGCATTAGCAATTCGATATGATGCTCTTGGAGATAGCGTAGACAACACTATGGGTTTGGAGAACCGAGCTAAGGTACTTGGGATCATAAGTTGGCAAGTATCTATGCTTCTTTTACATTATCTTTTAGTTAATTTTTTCTCTTGTGTAATCTTTCATAGCTTGAAGCACGATTAAGGCAGCTTGAAGGCAGAGAATTGAGTCGTTCTGCTGGTTCAGCTAAAGGCAAACCTAAGATAGAATTCTATGACAAGGACCGTAAGAAGGGAGCGGGAGCATTGATAACCGCTGCCAAGGTCTCGAATTTATTTCATGTGGTTGTATGATATTGTTGATTTTTTTTTTTACTTGTTGCATGGTAATGACTACTTGTTTTGTGTAGACTTACAATCCTTCAGCGGATTCTCTTCTTGGGCGGACTGAATCAGCAGCTGAGAAAGAAGAAGAAATTGTCCCAAAGAGGAAGCGTGAAGCAGAACCATCTGAGACTGCCGCAGCAGAAGAGGCAGCTGATGAACAGAAGAAAGAAAAGAAGAAAAAGAAGAAGAAGAAAGCCGAAGAAGAGGTCACAGCCTTGCCTGAAGATGGGCCCTCCGCTGAACCAGAAAGTGAAGAGCGGAAGAAAGAGAAGAAGAAAAAGAAGAAACATTTAGCTGAGAATGCTGAGGTAGATAACAATGGTGGGAATGTTGAAGCCGGAGAGAAGAAGAAAAAGAAGAGAAAACATGCTGAGCCGGACGAAGAAGAAACTGAAACCCCAAGCAAGAAGAAAGAGAAAAAGAAGAAGAAGAAAAGTGAAGCATGATAAGGTCAGTTAAGTGTATGGGTGAGTATCGAACCTTAACAATTTTGGGTTATCTTAGGTGATGGGGTGGTGTTCCTGTAAAATTTATGCGTTGCCAGTTATTTATTGTGGATTTCAAAATCAAAGTTGTTTCTAATGTATTTTCAATTTATTGAGATGATATGATCTTGCAAGAGTTTAATTTGCTTGAGGGACATCACCACTTGCTCTCAACATATGACAGTTTCATTTTCAAATGAAAAAGGCATTTTCAACATATGACAGTTCCATGCACATGATTTTGTTGATTGTGTGCTATGTATAGATGTTCTTATGAATCTTTTGCATGGTTAAGAGATCATAAAATTTTTGTTCAGTCCTCCTTGGTGTGTGGGATTGAATTTTGTTAGTTTTTACAGATTAGAGTAGGTGACAAGTGTTGGATTGACTAGTGTGTGCAGATTACCCACTTGAAGCCAACCTCCTGAACTCCATGCAATTTTGTGGTACTAATTTCTTGGTTATGAAGCCATTCAAACACCTTATTATTGTTTATTTTTATTTTTCTCAAGGGAATGAATGATTGGTCTTGGTTCTAGGTTCAATATTTTGTTTTGATGATTTAGTTTGTCCAAATGGGAGATTTGAAGCATTTTTTGGGTGCATTTATACGTTACAAAAGTAGTGGATTAAAAGTAATGTTTCAATGTACTAGGATGGTTATCAACTTATCATACGTAAAAAGTGATGATTTGATTGAGTGAGGTAGTTTGGTCATCATCTTCAAATGAGCAATGATATTTAACATGGACATATTGTTGTATTGAATTTTTGTATAATTATAATTTGAGGGTCATATTGTTGTATTGAAATGTAGTACTTTGGTCAATGATTGGTTAGTTATTTTAATAAGCAAAATAGACTTTCAAGGCCCAACCCGTCTTGGTTCAATACCGCATGGAGAAAAAAAGCCAACTCTTTCTCTAGAACCCTCCACCGACACACCTTTTCAGCCGCCACCTTCTCGTCTTCTCCGTCTGGTTTCTCCCTGCTGCCTTCCATGGGAGTGGGGAGGTGATGTTTCTTGCCTCTCACAGGTTAAATAACATCGGTGTGTAATAATAAGTACGTTATGTGGGTAATTTTTACGCCGTTTTTGTTTTTGTTTTGCTAGATTTACTTTGGTTTGGCTTGTTTTCGGCCAGATTGGGCAGATCTGTGTAGATCTGTGTTTCTTTCTTCAGCTAGATTTCAGATCTATGTCGGTTTTTTGTTGTCCCTGGCTAGATCTCAGATATATGTCAATGTCAGTTTTTGTGGTCCCCGTCTTGTGCGGGGTTTGGGTGGTTTTTTCACCAGTCAGAGGCGCCTTGTGGACGGAGCTTTGGAGCAGTTGTTTTGCTGATGACCTGACCTTTGTGTCACTCCTGTTGATGCTCGTCTCATGTGGTAGCTTCTGTTGTTTTTCTCAGCAAATCTGGAGCCTAATCTTCATTTTTCTTCATTTTGCTTCAGGTTTTGTTTGCCTTTTTATGGCTTACCTTTGTTGCATCTGTTCTGTCCTTTATGGATGTGTTATGTAGATGGCGTATGACTGTTATTTTATTGCCAGGAAAAAAAAAAATTAATAAGCAAAATAGTGAATATTCATTGGCAAGTTCAATATTTTTCTTTTAAAGTCGTCGACATAATATCAAGTCCGAAAAACTGAAACGAAAACAAAAAAAGAGGTCACTAGAGATAAATACCACCTCTAGAACAACAAGAGAGCCTCATAAGAAGTCTCAAGACAAAACTAAATCCGAAAAACAGAAGCGAAAACAAAAGAAGAGGTCAATAGAGATAATTCAACACAAAACTTGAAGACAATAGCAGAAGCTAAAGTCAAAACGAACTAAATACGAAGATAGGGGTAAAATGAACGGTCATTTTATCCAACGCAGAGGAAATTTGACCGTAAACAAGTCAAATGAAGTGATCTCAATCCAAACTAAACAATTTAAGACATCCAAAGAGGTCCTAAGACTCAAGAATTTTGAGTCAACTTTTCAATTATATCCACCGCATTTTCATATTTCATTCTTACAAGGAGTTATACGCGTTTTAGTGGACATAGAAGTCGAGCATATATGGGAAAGCCTAGATTGTTGAACTTTTTTTCTAATCCATGTCTTATAATTTAGAAACTTGCTGATGTAAAATACCACAGTACATAACTCTAGATATGTCTCATTTTGAAACGTGTGATGAAAAATAAATAAATTTTGCAGAAGGGTTTGTATAAAAGGTTGAACCCATAATTTATGTATGATAAATAGAAGTTGGAAAGGTAGGTTGAAGAAGAAGAGTTGGTTGGATAAGATTTTCCAACACTGTTACTTAACCTTTTCACTTAATAGTCAAATATGGTTGCTGGAAGGTGGAAGAAGAATACTTCTTCATTAAGGACTCTCTCCTCTCTCTCTAAGTTTTTATGTATATAAAGTAGAAACCTTTGCAAGGATTGTATCAGCCCATTCGCTTCACTACTACATTTTATATAGTGAGAGAGAGTGTGAGAGAGAGAGAGAGATGCCTCCAGGTTGGGGACCGCCACCAGGACCACCAGGGCCTCCGGGTTGTGGCTGCTTTGATTTTCTGTGTGGAGGAATATGCCGAGCCCTATCTTCATGGTTAGTTCTCTCTCATTTACAAGATTGAGAGTCATTTAGCTACAAATGCATACTTTCGTTGTTGTTTTTTGTTTTTTGTTTTTTATCCGGAAAAAGTTAGAATTAAGGCGCCGTGCCCTAACTTGTCATTAAATTATTAGGTCAATTTTAGGATCCCGTGTTTAAAAAAAAAGTTAAACGGCGAATTGTGAAAATTTAATAATGTTATTGCACAAATTACAAATATATTCAATTTCAGAATATTTTACCGGTCAATATGCGATCCTTTTTTTAGTCCGATACGCGATCTGTATCGGTTAATTTACACCTATTTTGTCAGAGTCCATTAAACATGATTTTGGACACCATAAAATGAAATGGTGCAAATGTACCCATTTTTCCTTAAAGTAAATTATATAGTGACATGACTAAAATTATGTTCTTGCGACAATCAGGGGATGGAGGTATGTATAAGTCTGGGGCAATTGCGCCCGCTGAATTTTTTTTTGGTTAAGTAATATGCCTTACTATTTTAGTTGTTTTGATATGTATATCTATAAAATTACACTACTGCCTCCACTAAAATTACTTTAAAAATACACTATTGCCCTCTCTCACACAAGTAGACAATATTGTGTATCAAAATGTTGTGATTCTTGTGAATATGTATTTTTAATCCAAAATAAGGAAGCAAAACATCATTGTTGAAGTAAATTTTAACTATAAAAAATAAAAAATGTTGATTAGTTAATTAATGGATTTATTTATTTATTTTGCAGTTTCTATCTCCTATGCTGCTGCTGCATCTTCGAGAGGTGCTGTGGACCAATGTTTGGTGGACCACCTGGACCACATGGACCACATGGACCAGGAGGCCCACGTTTCTAATTAGCTGATTTCTTTTTCAAGTTCTTATGTACGTCAGATCCATATCTGATGAGTGAACATACAAAAATAAAAAGTATAAAACCAAAACATTTTGCCTTGGCTTTAGTTCTGTTGCAAAATCTATTTCTTCTACTTTATTTTTTATTCTTTTATTTGTTTCTTCAATTTATTGTTTCCATTGCTGCTTATGTTTGGGGCGTTTGGGGATGCGAATAACAAAGGCCAGTTTTCTTTCATTTAACTTGAGCCAGACCTCACTTGACATGGTTTGGTAATTAAGTCCTGGACCTAGTATGTGAGTCATGTGACCAAAACTTTGCAAAAACAAGTTTAACCACATAAATGGGACATTTATAACAACATTCATTTTCAACGTTTGTCCACTACTGTGTAAAATTCTTACTTTGGTTCATCATCTTCCTAGTAGAAGGTTAAAAGTTCAAATGTTATAGTTTAATAGTAATTTATCCTCTTTCAGAGTAAAAGGTTAAAAGTTTAAGTCCATGTAAAAAAAAAAAAAAAAATTGTATGATGTTCTACTTTACATTTGTTATTATTTTATAGAAAATAATCTGAACGGGGACGGATATATATATTATTCTTTGTCCAAAATGTATCACTAGCGTACCTCAAACTTAGATAATATGATCTCTCATTTTCGAAGAAAAAGTTTGAAACTTCCACTAAGTACGCATAAGAAAAAAAATTGCATCACCACTAAAATTAAGGAACAATATTTCATAGGAAGTTTAAGTTTGAAACGTAGAATCTTATCCATAATCCTTATCCTTATCACATAATTGAAATAACATCAGTTGGATATTGCAATTGTGTAACTTTGAAAAGCAGTACTTGCATTTATTTTCTTAAATTTTTTCTAGTGATATAAAAGTGATAACCAAATCTCTTTCGGGCTTCAATGCTGTGATTCAGTTTCAGTCATGTCATCATCTGGTTAAAGTCTACCACTTACAAATTCAGTTACAATGAAATTCTCAATATGAACTTCAGTTTCAGTCATGTCATCATCTGGTTAAAGTCTACCACTTACAAATTCAGTTACAATGAAATTCCCAATATGAACTTTAACCGGTTGATGATGTGACTGAATTTAGACCACAAGATTGAGAGTTATTTGGCTGAAGAGGATCCTCGGCCCTAAAAAAGAGCCTATTTGGCATGCCCATACATACCCTTTTTGGCATGCCATTTGGTGATGGACAATTTGATGCCATTGAGCTTTTAGCCAAATCTCTAATTTAGAGTCCTTTAAATTGTACCCAATTTTATTATTATTATTATTTCCTTTTACCATTATTTGTTTAAAGAGTGATATTGGGGCTCTACAAACAGCATTTTTAGAGTGCTAATATAATTTATATTTTTGAATTGTATTTTCGCCTTAGCATAAAATTTATAAACCAGTAAAAGAAGAATATAGAGTATTGAGTGAGACCCAACTCTTTTAACTCCCAAGACAAAACCATTAATGAATGGACCATTTGTGACGGAGACAAAAGACATTTTATTTTGTTAGCCTCCTAAAGAAAAATGCAACTTCTTCTTGTTGTTCAAATTTTATTTATTTTTTGTTATTTAATAATAAATGTCCCAAATTCTTAAAAATGTACACGTCTAAAATGATTTTGTGAATATATATAATTTCTAATAAATTATATTTTATTATTACTTCTTTTCTTTCAAAAAAAAAAATTAAGATGCTTAATTCTTTCATCTAAAAAAATTAAAACAATCTTTTTTCCTTGAAAATAAAAAATATAGTTCCAATATAACTTTATGCATCTTAAATTATATATCAAATATTATGCATTTCTCAACATAAAAGAAAATACTACATCTCTTATTATCTCAAATGCATTCTCGTGATTAAAATTATAAATTTTTCCTCATATGCTTTGATCCACATCAAATAAGTTACAAGGAATTAACTTGAATTAACTTTCAAGTATCAATTTTTTTTCTATCCCCAGTAAATATATATATATATATATATATATTTATAAAAAATAAAAAAAATAAAAAAACCAGTTATAGTTTGCCTGCTCACTGTTCTCTGCCAAAGGGGGATGGGACAAATCATTTACATTCGCTAATCACGGACAAAATCTCTAGTCTGGTAAAACATACAGCACCAGTATGATGACACAACACATGCAATATTTTCTTGTAAAAAACATCCATCAACCAGCTCGGATCCGCGTATGAATTTCTTTATTCCCTCAACCCTCTTCCTCGGATGCCTCATTCAGCCACTGCACCGATTCATACACAAAGTTGAGAATGCTATAATACAGAAATGACATCCGCGAGACCGAAAAAGAAACAACTAGACAACTAACACGAATATAAATGTATATAAGGCAAGCCTGACACATTAAATTTTCTATTTAAATAAATATCATAAGTAGCTAGCTAGGGATAAACAGTGTTGACATGGTTGACAAACATATAAAAAGCTGAAATAGCAGTTTATTTCGTTAAAATTGATACAAGGGTAGGGTGCATGGTAGTACTTCATTGTGCTCCTTAATTATATTGATGTCATATCAACATGCAAATATTGTTCGACTCCGCGAACTTAGTGATTACGCAATTCCTATTCCGAATCACGTTAAATATTTATTCCACAAGAGATACTGTGAGTGAATGGTATACTACTGGTTTATTTCTGACTAGAAGATTGAGCCTAGCTTGTAAGTTTAAACTGAAGTCACTAATTAATGAAAGCTCGAAAAAATGGGATATTGTCGAACATGCTCTCCGCAGCCCACAAATGAAAGGGACATGGCAGCTGTTGATCAAGAAAATGCGAGGCAAACTAGATTCCACAAAATCCAGTAATTCCAAACCATGTCAAAAGTGTACTGTCTTAGAACCATGGTACCTTACTGAGCTTTCAGATAGAGTAATAATTTTGAAATCCAAAACAAGCCCCTTTATACTTACCTGCCGGGAGAGAAGGGGGGATTTTGTGGACGGGGTGGGGGATGTTAGGGTTCCAACTTCTGAGGACTAGAATCTAACATTCTGGTTGCAAGCTGATGATCAAAAGTAAGCTTCCTTTTATTTATTATTATTTTTTTTAAAGGTGTGAATTTATCACACACACAATTACACAAACAAGACATAATGTTTATCCAATATACTATAGAAGGTGCCAACATGAAAATAAGAGGATAGAGAACTCGTCATTGTCCACAAAATGAGAACTGAGAAGACGCCAAATTAACATGCAATTAAAACAACATGCTGCATGACATATTGTAATGAACATACCAAGTATTGAAAGTGAAAAAAGTACAAAAAATGCTTACTTGAATGAACTTTTCTGCCTGCCTAACAAAAACTTTATCAGATTCATCTGCCCCCTCTTTTTCAGCTGCCCAGTTAAGAATAGCCTCTTCTTGTAAAATATCTTTGTCATACAGAAGATGCAAAATCTGTCGAGGAAAATGATGATGATCAGATCACGAAAATAACCACTGTATGATGCTCATAAACTCAACATCAAATAAAGATGCATGACACCAAAGGTTAAGTGAATGACCACAAAAATTTTCTAAAAATTCATCATAGAATTTCTTTGAAGCAACAATAAATAAGGCAGTGGTTCGTTCCAACATCTTCCCCACTGCTAAACAAATAAACATTGCCTATTCTTGACATATTTCAAACCCACAGCATATCAAACGAGGACCATATCATAGAAAAAACCAAACCTTCTTGAAGAATTATATTGTCGTGAATGGGAATGCAAAAGAGCATTACAATCCTGGGCAGTTTTCAACAAGCATGTAGTCAATATAAAAGATCATCCTATTATGCTATTTTAGAGCAACAATTTTATTCCACAATCACTAGATAATTCATTGCTAGACATTCCACTTTTGCTTAATCGTGACATGATCCTACTAAATGTAAATTTGGGACACCTAAAGTTATTCTATAAGCAACTGTATCGAATATGACACCCTAGGAAGCACGGACACTCCAAAATGGGCGAAGAATCCGTGTCCGACACGTGTCGGACACGGACACGCGTGGGACACGCCCCGACACGTGTCGGACACGCCCCGACACGTGTCGGACACGCCAAAAAACGTGTCTGGAATTTTTTTATTTTTTTTAATTTTTGGACACACCACGGACACGGCTCAGACAGCTCGGACACAGCTCGGACACGGCTCGGACAGCTCGGACACAGTTCGGACGCACTTTTCTGGAATTTTTTTTTATTTTTTTATTTTTAATGCTGATATGTTAAATTTTTTTTTTTTTTTAAAAAAAATTTTTAATGCTGATATGTTCTATTTTTTGTTTTGTACTACCCTAAAAATGCTGTTATATATATATACTAACCTAAAGATGCCACAATTCGCTGTGTCCGTGTCCTAAAGATGCCGATATATATATATACTAACATATCAGTGATGTATATATATATTCCAACCTAAACATATCAGTGTTTTTTTTTTTAATTATTAATGCTGATATATATATATATATATACTATTCGCCGTGTCCGTGTCCTAATTTTTTTGGATTTGCCGTGTCGTTGTGTCCGTGTTGTGTCGTATCCGTGTCCGTGCTTCTTAGATGACACCCCATAGATCCTTTAGGATCTCAAACAATTAGAGGTGCTTCCTATCAAAAGTTTAAAGATGAGAAAGTAATCTAATAGTAAAGAAATGACAGTATTTGCACCCTTAACCAAGTAAAGGCAAGTGAAGAAGTACAGATTCAATGCATCTACTAAAACAAAGGTGAGATAAACTTGTCGAGTCAATGTTGATAGTTTTACAGATTGTAGCTGAGAATGCTAATTCCAACTTTTGGATGTAAGAAAGCTTTAATTGGAACAGGAAATCACAATGAATTTGAACAGCAACAAAATAATAATAAATTTCATTGTATATTTCTGTTTATAATTTACATGTGGTGACTTCAAAGGTCTAGTTTGTGAGGGATTTGATGCAGGTAATAAGGATCACATATATTCTATTCCGTAGCATGATAAATGTCACGCTTTCTTGCTATTTAATTTTATTATTTATTTTTTTACAAATATCCATCATACCTAAGTTTGTCAAAGTATCAGAAGGTCAGATTTTATGAATCTTTAAAATAATACTTGAAAAATAAAGTTAACAGTGGCATTAGTATTATTTCAAATCTTCAGGAGCATGCCTTTCTGTTAGATGTGATTTGCGATAACAGTATGAGGAATGGGCAATCAGGTGATCGTCTATTTTTTTTTTTTCTTGCAGCTATGTGAAGTCAGTTTGGAACTGGTTCAATGTAAAACTCAACTGGAATCATCCCCATTTCTCTACTCTAAGTTGAGCTATAGTTTGTAGGTTATAAGAAAACATATTCTTAAAAACGCACATTTCTAAGATGCTTGTTACTGGGACTATCTTGGCCCTTTGGTGTGAAAGAAACACCGATACTACGCTGATCTGCATAGAGAACCAAAAGAGGATGCTCGTAAATTTTTCTAGAGGTCCTTGATCATACATGCATTAGCACTTGAAAACCTCGAAGTGATTATAACATAAGGACTGTTATTGCAATAATGCTGCTTATTCCTTTACCCCAAATTGGATGTTCTACTGCATGTTAGGTATATGAGTCGTGTTGGCAATTTCTACTCAAAAATTGCTGTGAAGAGTCATATGAGTACAACCACTGAAGACAAATGCTGACAAAGATTTGCCAAGGACACACAAGAAATCCACATCCTCAATCACATATCTGGTACAGGTAAATTGAAACGAGTCGTGTTAGGTATATGAGTCGTTGAAACTAGCATTTTGGAACATCAATCAGCCAAAATAACCATGAGACGCTACTATATCTTAAGTTTCTTCATCTTGACTTAACATCTACCCGTCATTAGCATATTCATTTCCAGGGGTTTCTTGAACAAAAAAGAAGTTATAAGGAATCATGCATAACACTGAATAGGGAGCCGTCGAATAAACCAGCCTAACATGTGAAATGGGTTCATAAGGATGTTGTACTCAGCATGGAATTCAATCATAAAGTTAAAAGTACTAGAGATTCCAAGAGGCACACCATCATAAAATCTTCCTCGACCCATATAAATATTAATTTTGGAAGCTCAAAGTTTTGTTTAGAACATGCTTTTGTAAAATGGCTTTTCAAATGTAAAGGATTTCAACATTTTTCGGAATTGTGTTTTGTTGGAAAACAGGAGAGGTCGATCAAACATTGTCAAGAGACTATCAATTGAATGGTCGATCAATTGATAGGATGTCTATGTTACTGGGACAAAATCTTGAGAGCACCAGTTGAAGTGTCAATCGTTCAATAATTTTTTCTAAAGAACTATTTTAAAATCCAGAATGCCTTGATTGATAGTTCTATTGATCAAAATTTGTCCGGCATGTGTGGATCAAAGTTTCCATCAAACCCTTCAGACCTATATTTTTGAAAACTCACTCAAAGTAGAATTCTACAAATATTTAACTTACCAAAACATATCACCTACCAATATTGGCTATAGATATGAGGTTATAGTTAGTTTAGGTTTTGATTTGAAACCTCTAATCATATAGAGAGAGAGTGATATTCTTAATTACACAATCTATGGAATTATTAGACACTATTATATGTGATTGGGTATTCATCAAGCACATTGAGACAATTCAAATCCATTGAGACATCTGAGCATAAGAATGAACAACCATTAGAAAAGCAAACTCACAAGGAGTGCAGTTTGTTGACTAGGGGATGGACAATGTAAAGACTTGAGTGGAGAGTTTTGTGTCAGTTTGTGTCAAGAGGTAACTAGGAGTTATAGGTCGTGAGAGACTCAGAGCTTTTAATCTAGTTGTAACTTTATTATCATGTAGCACTAGTAGATGAATAAGGCTGGTGGTTTTTTCATGTTCATGATTTTCTAGGTAAAAATAGTATGCCTCTGCCCTACTTTTTCTTGTATGACTGCATGATTGTGGGTGTGATGAAAGAAAAGGGGACGATGCTAAATATTCATGTGTTACATGGACTTTGGTGCGTTTGAGGGTACAAGTATGTATCTAAGTATTGAACGTGTCAAATCCCTATACAGAAGGACACAAAGACTGAAAAAAAATCATATTATTTAATTTTTGTTTTTTGAGTAAAATAAGCATTTCACTTATTTCGAAACAATAATATAATTTTTTTTGATAAATAAAAAATTTTATAAAAAAAAACACTCCAAGGGGGAGCGGAACCCAAGAACAATACAAAAAGCCACTCAATCCTTCAAAGAGGCCAAAAAATTAACAATTTCCTCCAAAGATCTATGATCTCTCCCTAAAACCCAACAAAAAAGAGTGGAAATAATCGAGAATTTAAGCACCGAAATCGACATCGCCTTTCCTTCAAAATATCTCCTATTCCTTTCAAGCCAAATGCACCACCATACACAAAGCGGTGTAGCCCTCCACGCATCCTGACTGTGAGTCCCCACAGGGCAACCTCTCCAAGCCTCAATCAACCCTCTTGTAGATCTAGGCATAACCCAATAAAGCCCAAATAAGCCAAGCATCTAATCCCAACACTCTCTAGCCGCATAGCAATGAATGAGAAGGTGATCCACTGATTCCTCATTACGAAGGCACATAAAACAACGATTGATCACCACTTGGCTTCTCCTTCGCAAATTATCCTGGGTTAGGATCTTACCCATAACCGAAGACCACACAAAGAAAGCCACCTTGAGAGGAGCCTTGGAGCGCCAAACAGACTTCCAAGGAAAACGAACATCAGGATCAAATGAGAGACACTTGAAGAAGGACCTCACCTCAAAACGCCCATGAGAGTTTGCTACCCAAGACCAACAATCCGAATCCTCCTCCACAATCCTTTGGCGATAAAGCAGCTCCAAGAAGCGAATGACCTCCTCGATCTCCCAATCCTGAAAGTGACGCCTGAAACGAACATCCCAAACCAGTCTCCCATTATCAAGATGATAACAGTTGACCACCATGGCCTGCCTATCCGAAGCAATCCTGTAAAGCTGAGGAAAAGCGAGAGGAACATCTCCACACCACACATCCTCCCAGAAGCAAATCCTCCTCCCATCTCTAAGATGAAATCGAATGTGTTTAGAGAATTCATCCCAACCCTTCCGAATCACTTTCCAGACCCCTACCCCCCGAGGATCCCGCACTTCCAAGGAACTCCACCCTCCTCTCAATTCCCCAAAACGACACGCCACAACCCTCCTCCAAAGCCAATGTCTCTCCACACCAAATCTCCACAACCATTTCCCGAGAAGGGCCTTATTAAATGGCACCAATCTACGGAGACCCAACCCACCATTCCGAATAGGCTTGCAAACCTGATCCCATCGCACCAAATGGAACTTAAACTCTTCAGCTCTACCTCCCCAAAGAAAATTACGCTGCAACCTCTCAATCCTCTC